CAAAATAAATTTGGGATGCCAAAAATAATTTGGGGTGCCAAAAATAATTTGGATTTGGGATTTGGAATTGGGATTTGGGATTTGGGATTTTGGCATTTGGATTTTGAATTTGGGTGGCAGGTATAGCCTTGTCTCTTTTGAACAAATCTGTAATATCTAAATCCTTCAAATATCATATTTTTTGTAGTATAAATTAGTTAGTAGTAACATATTTTAGTTTAACTACCATATCTTTAGCTAATAGTTAATTATATTTCTTGAAAGTCTGATCACAGTTAACAATAGTATTTCTAATTATTTTTTCAAGTCTTTAATATTGCAAATTTTTTAAATAGAATTACAATACAAATCTACAATTCTGTAATTAATTGTAGACTTTTGTTTCTATTTTCAAAATTTCCATGTTTCTAGTTTCAAAATGATATTTTTTTCATCTCAATTGAATATTTCTACATCAAGTTACAGTGGCTTACAAAAGTACTATAACATCTGATTTTTTGTTTTTAAAAAAATTCTAACTCCTGAACAATAGATTTTAGAATAATAGTTACTATACATATTTTAATCTTTGAAATTTGGAAACTTTTTTGAGATGTTTTTGGTATCAAATTTATAATCCTGATTTTGCATAAATGGGTGATCAACATTTAGAATTGTCACTTAATAAAATTTCAATTGTGAATAAATTTTACACATGATAGTTATGGCTAAGAAAATTATAAGGTTGATTGTCTTTTCTAAGGAGAATAAGCATGCCAAATTTCATAGTAAACATCCATCAATGTGTTAGTTAAGCCTTCCACCTTTGTTGTGTTGTGTCCACTGATGTTAAAATTCCTGTGCTATTTTTTATTATTATAGAAACCAATTTCTTGCTTTAGTAATGCTGTAAATGTTATAACTCTAAGACCCCAGAAAAATGTTTGGGTGGGTAAAATTACTAATTGCAGAAACTATAGCTATGACTAAGAATATCAATGCCCAGAAGTTTGAATCTCTCTATAATTCATCTCGGCTAAAAATTTATGATTAAAAGAATAAGTTAATAATTATATTATATTATAATGCAAATAATAATAAAATAAAAAAATATTCTTATTCATTTGGTTGTAATCACAACTGAAATGTAGGGAAAATTAAACTTTAAGAACAGAACCAATTAAATCCGTGATATTCTAGATTTTTAAGTTTAAAGTTTCAAAAGGGGATGGTTGTTCTAACAAATTCATTAGATTTTTTGCACGCTTCAATTACTTCATTTCTTAATTATCTAAAATCCCGCCCCATGCAAGCATTCTCTCTAATATTTTCCGCGAAAAAGTACGGCATTTACAGTCTCCCTTTTCCCAAGTGCATTATTAATCAATTTATCCATAAAAATATTTAGAATAAAAGTTACTATTTAAATACATCCAAAGGATGTCACTGTGCTCAAACCTACTTCTACGTTAGCCTCTTCATAAAATTAAATAGAAATGAATTTATGCAATTTATGTAAAAAATTAGTAAAATACTATACAAATTTATGTGTTTACCTTGTCTTTTTTTAGGTTGAAGCTTCAAAACAAGCAAATATTGTACTATGTTTAGGTTAAACTTTGTTAGTAATAATTTTTTTAAACTATGTTGTTTAACTTAACTAATTACTTTTCATATTTCATAATTAATTAATTATCTAATAACTATTCAGAATCTTTTAAACAGTACAAAAAGATAGATCATCTCGAGAAGTAACACGCTTAACATTAAAAAAAATTTTTTTTTATAAACAAACTTGCATCCAATTTGTAATTTGTCCTAATGGTGCAGATTCAAAGAAAGCAATTTCTTGACGAAGAATTAATTGATAATATATATGCGAAGTCGCTATATTTATATAATTGTAATTTTCACCTACCCGGTGATTTTCCGGTAAAAATTAGTAACACTGTATTTTATAAAATTATTTGAAAAAATTTACAGCGAACCATTACTTCTTCTGCATACATTAAAAGTTCCATTTGTAAGTAGGCAGCTAAAACAACCTATACTCCAAAGATCAAGAATTTCACTCTTAGCATCATCCGCATGGAATTGCTACTCCATTTGTGGTTTCACCCAATATCCCCATAAATATATCAAAAACGTGTAGCATTTCAAAAAAAAAGTCAACTGAGTTAGTTGATTATCAGAATTCTTTACTTCAGTATTAGTACTTTTGAAATTTTAAGTCATTTCACAATCGCAGTTATTTCTATGGTAATATTTCAAATGTCTATAACAATCGGAGTCAATGGCATTAACGAATTTAGTAATAATAATATCATAACATAATGGCAAAAATTATTCAATATTTGATTTAAAATCTCAAAAACAATATTAGAAATAAATAGAAAAAAAAAATGGAAATAGAAAATGGGTAATTATTTAAACATTATTTTCAACATTTATTCATTTTTTCAAATAAATTATTAGGAAAAACTTCTTTAATCTCACATTCTACACCTATAATTTCTAAATTATACACACGCCACCAATTTTGATCATTACGACCTACTTGTAATAATCGGAATAATGGGACTTTATCAAAGTAACTATATTTATGTAACATTAATATAGTAAAATGTGTAAAAGAATGAAATTAATAAAAAAGACTTTTACATAACAACAACAATAATAATTACAATAATAATTACAATAATAATTACAATAATAATTACAATAATAATTACAAATAATAATTACAATAATAATTACAATAATAATTTCAATAATAATTACAATAATAATTTACCTGAACAGTTGACCAAGACCAACACCTTCATTTTCAATTAAATTTAAAATTTTATCATCACGAACTATAACATCACTAAATGCATTACAAACTACTTTGTTTTCACAAACGAGAGCAACTTCTCTTTCATATCTTTTTAAAATGGGAGAATTATTATTGATATGATTATTTCTATTATCGTTATTTTCGTTATTTTCATATTTATTATTTTCAATATTATTATTTAATTTGTCATTATTATTATTATTATTATTATTATCAATATCAATCGGAATATTTTTAATAATTTCGATTTTTATAGGTTTATTAAACCATGCACTATTCCGTGTTGTGATATGTAAATTAGGATTAAAAATAAGAAAATTAGTCAAAGATAAGATTTTGAGTCTAAGTAAATGTTATTAATTAAAATACCTTAAAATTCTTTGTAAATTTCCATTAGCAGTTAAACAAATTCTTTCTAATCCGGAAAATTCATCCGATAATATCAAACTTGTTTCTCTTGATGAAATTTTATCAACGAAGTTGTTAGATATAGGTCTTTTATTATGGGAGTGATAATTATTTGACATTTTTTTAATGTAATAAATATTTTATATGATATTTATAATAAATAAAGATTACAGATATGGTACCTAACGCTATGATCGAATATTAAAAATTATATTATAATTACTATTTTAGGTTGACATTTCTTTTTATTTTTTACACTATAATTTTTGTATTATAGTGATGACATGTGACAGTGTAACTTTGATGATGATATTAATTAAAAATAAAAAATTTTTTTTTTTTTTTATAATCTCTTTTATAAATAATGCGGTTAATCTTAGGTTTGTAAAAAAAATAAAATTTATATATTTTTTAAATATATTTTAATTGTTTCTTTTCTTTTTGCTTATTATAAAAGTCAGAAAGGTACGAATTAATAATTTTATCAAATTTAACAACAAATTATCACCAAATGTCTTAAAGAATTTTACAAATAAAGCTGTAAGTATAAATATAAAGTTATTCAAATTTTTAATACTTCAAAGTTTTAACTTTAATTCAATTTTTTTCCTTTTCATAAAGAATAAGAATTATCCCATTGAATCAATTAATTCATCCAAATCATGTAATTCTTCATTTAATTCATTTAATTCAATTTTATCTCATAAAAAAAACATACAATATTCACAACCAAGATTTTATTCAAATGACACCAAACAAGAACAAGAGATCAGGAATCGTAATTTAATTGGGGTAAAAATTGAATAAATAATTTATTATCTAATTTATTATCTATTATCTAATTTATTATATTCAATTATCATATAATTATTAATCAATTAGTTCAAATCAATTAATTTAATTTTATTAATATATTTAAAAGCCATTTACATGGAAAAGTTTTGTAGCATTTGTTTGTGCAGGAATTGGATTGTATTTTTATTTTAATTATGAAAAACAAAAGTTGATTGCAAAACGTAAATGATTTAATTTTTTAAATCCATAATAATAAAAAAAAAATAAAATAATAATAATAATAATAATAATAATAATAATAATAATAATAATAATTATAATAATAATAATAATAATAAATATCTTCATTCTACTTACATTATATTATATTACAATTATATAATATTATTAATGTATAAAAGGCAAAGAAGAATTAGCAAGTAAAACATTTGGTAAACCAAACATTGGTGGACCATTTGAATTAGTGAATCAAGATGGTCAAACTGTATCTGATAAAAGTTTTCTTGGTAAATTTCTTTTGGTCTATTTTGGATTCACTCATTGTCCTGATATTTGTCCTGTTGAATTAAATAAGATGGCTAAAGTTACTGATAAAATAAGTAAGATATTATAATTTTTATTTTTTGGTTATTATTATTATTATTATTATTATTAATTTTCATTATTGTGGTTTGTTATAAATGGGGATTTCATTTAATTAATAAATAGATAATGATTCAAAATATGGAAACATCTTGACTCCAATTTTTATATCATGCGATCCTAATCGTGATACATATGAAGTAATTAAAAAATATATCAGTGGTAATTTTAACTTTTATATAACATTTATTTAGAATTTATATATCATTGAACATTTAATATATTTGATTCATTTACTGCTTATTTTAATTTATTCTATAATTATATATATATATATATATCGATCTATCTATGTATATACATCTATATATTCATTTACTTATTTAGGATATCACAAAGATATGATAGGCTTAACAGGAACTTATGAACAAATAGCCAAAGCAGCTAAAGCTTATAGAGTATATTTTAGTCGTCCACCTGATATTAAATCTAATGAAGAAGAATATTTAGTAGATCATTCTATTTTCTTTTATTTAATGGATCCAAATGGAGAATTTATTGATTGTTACGGAAGTAATACTACTATTGAAGAAGTTAGTAATAGTGTTAAAGATTATATTAAAAATTTTCTATCAAAAAAAGGAAATAGAGATGTTGGGATTTTAAAGTAAACAAATTATTTCAAATTAATTAATTGAAATTATCTTGTCAAAAAATGGGAAATTTTATAATAGTAATAATAATAATAAACATATATATATATATATATACCGAATAAACATATTTACATGTACATGTAAATATCTCCTTCAGAATTATCAAGAAGTGTCAAAGAATATTTCATTAAATATCTTAAATTATTATAATTATTATAAATTATGCATATATATATCCAAAATTTCCAAAATTATAATTTATTTTTGTAAATAATAATAATAATAATAATAATATAACTTGGGGCACGCACGTCACCCACGAAAACTTGATTAAATTTATTTTATTTTATTTTTTTTTTAACTAAATATTGTGTATAACAATATAAGTTCATCTTTTTTTTATTTATAGAAATATAATATTGTTAATATTGTAATATTGTAATGTTATCGTTTATCCCTGATTATAAAAAATAATATGTTGTAAATTTATTATTTTAAATGTGAATAATAAATCTAATTATCGAAACGATCTCCATTGTTGTAAATCGTATAATGCATTATATATCTTTATATATCTTTACTGATGATTATTATGGGTTTGATGATTAAAGAACAAAAGTTTCCTCATTCGCAAATTCTACATAATTTTTAACATGTCTCGAACGTCGATGCCTTGCTCTTTGATATTTATATGTTAGATTTACAATATCCTGTTTTAAAGTGTAAAGTAAAAAAAAAAAAAAAATTTAAAACAAAATTTATAATAATATTTAATAATGTATGATAATAATAATAATAAAAACATGAACGTACCTTAAATACTATAAATAAACATCCACCAAGAACATTCCGATGAAATGTATCCGGAATACGAGAGCGAATAAATGAGAATCGACCAAGGAGACTATTGATTTAATAAAATCAATTAATAAAATAGGAATATATTAAATATATTTAATGTATTCAATTTTTAAATATAAAGAATATGATATTATTTTTACCTTCCAACCATGGCAGAAATAACTAATATAGATATATAAAAAAATAAATATAAAAAAATACAGAGATTTGATTAATTCAACAAAATTTAACAATAATTTAAAAATGTTTAATTACATGGAAGGCATAATGCTCCAACAATTTTTCGACCAGCATTACTCCTATCTAAACGATCTAAAACATCTTGATTTTCACGACGTCTTTCATTGCCATTTTCTCCATTTTCAACATCATTTGAAGTGTTATATGGCTCAAGCTGCCTACGCCATGAAGCCTCAAGTCGACCGAATAAACGATTATATGAATAATTATAAACAATTCTGGCCCATGGCAAAAGTGAGATTGTGAGAGATGGATTAGGTGGCATGGTAGTTCTTAATTGATCATATCGAATAAAGAGCATAGGAATAAGTGGCATCACTGGATCTGCAATGCGGGCTCTAGAAAATATGAGCAATATAGGAACAAGAGGGAGGGTGAACTGTAATTAAAAACAAAAAATTCAGCCGAAAGTTTTATAAATATTTTAATATAAAATTATGAAAGTAATATTTACACAAATCCTCCAACTCCAAGGTTCTTCTAGAAGTCGTTCTCCATCTTCAACACCAACCATTGTGATAATTGCATATGCCCTAGATAAAATAAAATAAAATAAAATAAAATAAAATAAAATAAAATAAAATAAAATAAAATAAAATAAAATTAAATTTTAATTAATCTATCACATAATTGATATGAAGCTGGAAAATATTTATTTAAATAACTAACCCGTAATGAATATTTGTTACCGCAACAGCAAAAGTAACTCCAAAAATAGTAAAGTACGGAATTGAAGATTGAATTGCAGAATCGATGATTGTAAAGACGCGTAAAAGAGGTGACGTTCGTTCAGCAAAGTGATATAAAGTTCTACATTGAGGACATCTCACCTATTACATTATAATAAATACATTCATTAATATACTTTCATTAAAAAAATTTCATTCTTTCATTATTAAAAATACCTTTTTTAACGCAGTACTTTTTTGATTCTCGGTAATCCAATTCAATAAACATTCTTCATGACATATTAACGAACATTTGCAAGGCCGAACCCATTTCCCAACACTGTCAGATTCTTCACCAAAGCAAATCCAACACCTTTTATCGTCAACTTGTTCTAGTGTAACTGGTAATCTTAACGCAACTGGACCTGTTTGAGTTGACGGCGATGTCGTCGTCGTCGTCGTCGTTGTTGTAATTATATTTTCGTCAATAAGATTAACTGATCGTTGTAAATCATTAATATCATTATTTGCAAATGAGGTTGTGGACGATTCACCACGATCCACTCTAATTATTGGAGAGAATGGTGTGGATGACATTCAGAAAAAGTTTGTCAAATGTTTTATTGGAATACTCTAATTTAGAATACATGGATCAGTTTATATAAATATTATAAATAACTTATTACAAAATACATCACTAAAAATTTCAAAATTCACTATACCGATGCAATAAATAACACAAATAATACAAGTAAATTGTGATTTAAGTCAAAGTTTGAAGAAACAAATATACAATAAAAAGTATTAAAAGTATAATTGTAGTTGTATAACTTTTTTTATTATTTTTTTATTATAATAAAATAGTACTTGCTTTAACTAACCCTTTTTCATTTTCATATGATTTATGATTGTGATTGGTGGAACGTCAAATAAAATATATAAAGTCAAAATTTTATAAGCAAATCAGTTTTTTTTTTTTTTTTTATCTTCAAAAAAAAAATATGACCATTACCCCTGCTAATTTTGCCGCTAAGACAATAACTTCAAGTTCACTTTTTGAGGCACGAAATAAAGTGCTTAAATTATATAGAGATTGGCAACGGGCGGTAATTTGAGAATTCTTTCAACGATCTTGAACATATTTTTTTTTTTATATAAAAGAAGAATTAATTTTTATTTATAAAGGATTATTTTTTATTCATTTCAAAAAAAAAAACAAAGAAAGGCTCCAAAGGTAGTTAAATCATATTTACTTGATATTCCTGCATCAGCTGTTAGAGCTAAAATTCGAGAAGAATTTGAAAAAAATCGTTATGTTAGTGATTTAAAAGTTATTGATGTATTAAGAATAAAGGGTGAAACCGAATTTCAAGAAACTATAAATAGTTGGAAAATGGAATCACATGTAATGAGATACTTTGATAAAGAAGATCATATTTCTGCTTACAAGCCTCAAACATTTTTAGAAAAGTTTTATGGTAAATTGAACATAATGAGCATCATAATATTTACATTTTATTTATATTTTTTTAATCATTTTTAAATTTATAAGATTTTTGTTAATTAATTAATTCATTTAAATTTAAATTTATTTTTATTTTATTTTTATTTCTTTTAGAGGGTAAAGACTAAATTGACTATAAATTTATGTATGTTTAAAAAATAAAATATCTTTTTTGTCGGGAAAAATAATTACAATAATTTTTACTTGAGAGCACAAAAATCACGTGAGTCCAAAATAAATGATGAAAATACTGTAAGAGAAATTATCATTATTTTTGCAACTTTTGCAATACAAAAATGAATTATAATACCTAAATATGCTAAAATAAATAATTACACCCTTAAATTATTATATGCAAAAAAAAATTTTTTTTTTCTTTCTTTTTAGAAATTTGAAAAATTTCAAGGAAAGGCTAATTGAATTATTAATATGTTTTTTTAAAGAAAAAATAAAAATTCATAAATATTAAATCTATATATTTAATATATATCTCAACCATCTGGATTATAGTCACCAAAAGTATTTCTCCAGAATCTTTTGTTTTAAAGATCAATAATATATTTGATTGTTTTTATTATTTTATTATGAAGAATAGAAGAAAATTCCTCACTACTTTCTTATATATTAATTCAAAATCAATCTTTTTGATCTATCTGTGATGCATGCATGTAAACAATGGTTGAAGATTAAATATAATCAATGCTAGTAGGAGGATCTTTACAAATGGGTACAATAATTTTACAAGCTTGTAAAATGGTTGATTCTATAGGTAATTCTGATGTCATAAAATGTTGAACTAAATCTTTACAAAAGATTATCTGGTAGAATTTGTTTATCAGATTGAGCTTTGTAAAATAGATTCTTTCCCATGGATCTGAAAGTATTTAATATGAGGCAAACATTGTTGAAAAGTTTTTTCTTTAGGTTTTCGAAATTTTCATTTGTCCACTCTTCAGGATTTGAATTTTTCCACAATTCCAAATTCTTGTTTCTTCAAATTATCACTTTCAAGAATAGAAATTAATGCATTTTCTAGAATAGTTATAAAATCTTCAAATTCAAATATCAAATTAAGATATTTTGTAACAATATCATTGCAAAAATCCTAAAGTTTGATGAAATTATTATTATTACTAAAAAGAATTTCGATTAAACTTTTGAAAAATTTAACTTGAACATGAGCTTGTTGTTTAATAAGATAAGATTGTAGAAATTGTTTAATTCTTCTAATTCTGGTTCACAATGCCTCCATAAATATATCTAAAAAAAATTATTTTACAATTAAAAATATATTAACATAAAGCATAGTTTCATTTGGTCTTGTGATTATTTTCATTGTAAGTTAAATTTTTAATTTATTATATAATTATATAATTGATAATATAGAATGGTTGAATGAACTTTATAAGTCTTATTTAATCCAACTTTTGATGAAAACGCGTTCATCACCATTCTCGAGAAGTTTAATAAAGTTGTAATAGTAAATTGTTAAATCATTTTTCATTATATATTATGCTTGGGAAATACCTACTAAAGATATATAGAACCTAACCTGAAAGATAATCCAACTTCATCTTTAAATCTGACTAGAAATAAATAGCTAATTCCACATAATAATTTGACATAAATATATTATAAGGTAATAGAATGAATAGATTTAAATATATTGAAAACTTGAAAAATTCAGTTAAGTGAATTGAAATTATATTCACTTGGTATTATATATGAAGTTTTTTATTGCCAAAGGATTAAGAATAAGAAAAGAATAATATAACATTATCGATCAAATTTATATTTTTTTTGTATTATTTCCTGCGGATCATTTTTACCAAATGCTGGTGAGAATCAATTATAGTGCTGGCAGAAATGATTGGAGCTTAATATGGAAACAAATTCGCTCATATGATGTATAGCAAAATTTAAAAGAGAAATTTTAGAATAAATATACACACCTTTTTTCTGACCTAAATTTAATTTTCCCAACCTCTGACCTTTACAAATATCTTTACCTTAAATAAGGGTTAATTTTTTAATTTATTCAATGTAACCTCGAAAGTATTGAAAGGCAAAAATAATTATTAATCCTAACTGATTAATCATTTACAATTGTACTACAATTTTTAGATTAATGGTAACTTATCATGAAGTTTATATGAACCAATATATTGTATTATGTACATAAATTAATATCTTACGTTGTTTTTCCATTGCTTATAAAAATAATTGAGAACAAAAAGATGTGAATAAAATAAAATAAATATAATTTTTATAAAAATATTAAAAAAATACGTGAAAATTTATAAAATATTAAATAAAGAGCACTTTTGTGAATTTAAGATTTGCCACAGAACCGTCACATAAATGATAATCAAATGATAATCATATAATTTCATTCTTGAAAATGATATTTCTGATATATTGATTGTAATGATCAATTTTTAGATCATCTTTAAAAATCACACTTAAAAATATTTTAAAGCACATTTAACCCAATTTTTTATCTATCATTGAATATAAATTCGGAAATAAATAAATAATTTCATAACAAGATTTTTTTTTTTTTGAACAATAAAGATATAATATGAAAAGAAATAATAATGTTTCAAATGCTAGTGTAACATCATAAACGTGTATATGAAAGAAAGGAGACGAACAATGCGTTAATAAAAATTAAATATTTCTGAAACTACATCTCCTTACCATTACAAGCATACAAGCAAAAGAAAAGGTCTCGAATTATCGTTTTTGATGCAATACTTCTCCAATTTATGAATTTATTGCTATGTACAATTTGTTTTTGAATTTGTGCACACCCGATTTTAGCTGTGATGAGATTTCAACTATGAAAATTGAACAATTGAATAGATACCTTTGTGGAGTAAGAATGTGAAAAGCCGATAAAACATTTCATAAAAATTAACCCATTTTTTTATTGAACCTTACATATTAAAAGAAATAATTGTTTTAAGATCATTTGTCTTTTTTTTTTTTTATTGTTATTTTCTTCATAAATAACACTGACAATATTAAAAACATTAAATTGTTTTATTGAAACAATGAAAACTCGGACATATATACTATAAACGGACTACGAATGTCTCATGACAACGAGATCACGTGGTTTCGTCATTCAGCGGCAAAAAGTTTTTTTTTAAGGTTCTCAAAACAAAACTTTTTGTACTCGCTCAAATTATTTGAGGTGGGAATGACTTTTTATTTTGCTAAATATAATCAAATTACTCATTCATTCATCATTTATAAATTATATTTATTTGTAGTAGATTTACGGATTTGGCAAAATAACGCCATAAATCAGAGTATAATCCCAAGCAGTGTATCTTGAGAGTCATAATAATCATTTTACAAAAAGGTGGATCTTTAAAGTACGCAATACAACAAATCATATATCACTTTCTTCAAGTTAAATAAAAAATTCACACAGTGTGATCAATCAAAGAAACCAGCCAATGCCTAAATGAAGAATTAAATTCATATATTTTGTGAAACAAAACTTTGGTTTTTGAGTAGTGCATATAAATGATATTTAGAATATCATCGAGCAAATTTTATATTCGGATTTTACTTAGGTTAACTTAATAATAGAAATAATAATAATAATAATTTATTGAAAGAGTTGATATTATGTTATGGTTCTTTTTTTTTATAGAAAATTCTTATGTTCAAATCAAATTACGTTCATGTTATAAATTTATTTTTACAGACAAGCAAGAATCAAAATATATTATCCACTAAATTTCTTTTGGTTTCTTCTATCAATGCTTCTGACACGATATTTATATATGATAATAAAAATCGAATTTAGAACACTAAAAACGCACTGCATAAATCATCTCTCCCTGTATCCCTGTGTAAATATTTATCTGTACAGTCTCCTCTAATCTGTGCAGTTTAGAATAAAAATATGGTACTCTTTAAACTTTGAGGAAAAAAAAAATCCGAATATCGAAGAAAATGATTATTTTAAACTGAATTTTATATACACATGATTAATATATAACAAAATTATTACTTTTTTTTTTTTTAAAAAAAAAAAAATAACTTAGCAGTTAATGACAAAAATTAATAAATTATTATTATTTTTTTTTTTTAATAAATTAGAATATCCCAAGATAAATTAAAAAATATTTTTTAGCAAACTGTCAAGTTTAATTAGCTAGTAAGAAAGGAATTTCTAAACTATGAATTCACTTTTATAACATCCTAATGAATAAAAATGAATTACCCCTTCAACAAAGGAACTTGCTTTTCTTCTTCACAAACAACAGAAACTTATGGACTTTACAAACAGATTTAAAATTGAGCATTGGCATAAAAAAAAAAATAAAATATCGCAGAACAGAACTAGTAATATCAGATATCACTCTCAGTGATAAACTTTCCTCTCGAATTATAATGATCAATTCTCAAGGACGTCAACAATATCGTTCGTTGTGTTAGTTATGTTTCGTTATGTTCGTTTTGAAGTTCTTCGACGTTCTAGATAATTCCTGTTGTTATTATTTTCGATGTGTGTCCCCAATTTCAGTTAATATAAACTTATTGTGTGTCCCGATTATGCAAAACGGAATAAGAATAATCACCTGTCAAAAAAAAAAAAAATAATAAATATAAATATATTTTATCGTTACACGTTTCAACTTTTACAATGAATAAGTTTATTTATAGCACAAACAAATATTCAGCATGATATTACGAAGCAGAATTTGGGCTAAAATTTTTTTTTAAAAACTTCGAATTAAATATTCTTCAATTTTAACTCTTATTATTATTCTTATTAGTTCTTATTAGTACTAAATTGGTTTATATTGGCGGTTAATTGGCTTATTAAATTAAATTTAAAATTTATCAATTAATTCAATAATTTAAGGTTATCATTATCATTATCATTTCATTTCAGATTTATAGGGAGAAAGAAGTATGGATTTATTCTTCTAAGAATAAACTATATAAGTAAATTAAGATCTAAGATCTTAATTCATGATAAGAATAATATAAATTGTATATTTTCTGACTAAAAAAAAATATATTCCAGGAGATGTGTGTTGCCAAAAGGTTTAAATATGGCATTAAAACACGAGATTGTGATTATCGATACTAAATCTTGTCGGAAAAGAAACGTGTGACCAAAAAAGCTGTATCAATCAGAGTTCCCTTATCATCGGTGGTTAGTATTCATTGAATTGGAAATCTTTTCATAATGTACATACATTTGTTACATTTGTTAGGTTATTACACAAGGAGAGAATATTGTAATTATTATAAAATAGCAAATGAATTTTAAATTTGATTCAAGAAGAATATTAAAATGTATATATGAATATAGAATAAAAGGTGATGAATAAGTAATATAATAATCAATCGAAATAGTTAAGGGATACGCGACACAGTAAAAAAGTCTATGCATTACATGGAGAGAACATCTCCTTTTTTGTGAACCTCAATCAAAAAATAATAAAATATAATAAAATATAATAAAATACAATAAAATATATAAAATATAATAAAATATCATAAAATATAATAAAACATAATATATTTAAATTTATTCTATAATATTTAATATATGCTTAAGTTTTATGTGTATCAAGAAGTATATAAATAAAACATTTCAGATATTTAATTTTATCTTATTTGTCAAATTGTATCACGAAAAATGTATTCTAAATATTAAGTGTATTCGAAAATTATTTTAAATTTTAGAAATTTTAGTGGTATTTAATTATATTATATATCACATTCATAGGTGATGGTGAACAGAAGTGATAAAGAATATAAACTAAATTATATTAATTTCAATTAATTTTATTAATCTTCTTTCTTGTAATCCAATAAAGAAAAGGTGTAATTTCGATTTATCATTTAATAAATCATTTTTCAATGAGATACGTGGCCATTTTTTACGCGCTTGATTTTATTGATCTTGTCATTTATTATTACAGTAATGATGCGGGAGATGACATCTTACTTTCAAACTGCAATTACCAAAGTTATTTTAAATTTCCATAAAAGAAATCCATAATTACAATCCATAACATCAAAATCACATGTGTGCATATATATAAATATATTCATAAACTTGTATATTTGAGGTTTTTTATAATAAAATTATATACTCGCTCGAAAATTTTTTGAATTTTTGAACATGTAATAATTTTTTAATTTCTTCATCTTTCATCCCCATTTTCTTATTTTCTTTTCAACATTCTTAATGTATACCTCCCTTTTTTTTTATTGGAAGAATTATAAATTCATATTTGTACATACATATATTGGAAGTTTTAACTGCATGATGTTAATTAATTTTCTTGATATGTTTCACATTTTCTTTATTCGTCACTTTTCATTTCCTTCATTTTTTCCTTTTATATTATTTTTATCACGTAAAATAATCTTTACATTTTTTGCTCATATTTTTACACGAATTCTGTATTCACACTTTTTACTCACATTTTTTACTCATATTATTATATAGAATCATTCAATATTGCCAAAAGTATCTTCTCTCCCGATTATATAATAGATAATCATTTATTATTAGTTTTTTTAGTAAATAATAAATTATTTCTCGAATAATCAATTAAAATAAGTTAAATTAATTCGAATTAATGTAATAACATAAGACATATGTATTCTTAAAATTAAAGATTACAATATAGTACAGTAGTTACTAGTTTACTTTTTATAAAGAAACTACGCGTGAAATATATAAAATAAAGTGTATGGAAAAGATTTTCTCCTTTTATCTTTCTAAAAAGCGCGTCAACTCCTTTGTCCTTCCTTTTCTCCAGAGAAAAGAATATTTAGATTACCTATTTTTAGACAAGAAGGCGTATTTTCTGTAACCTCATTTGATCTCGACAGGTTTTTATTCTATGATGAATATTTATTTATTCCTTTCGTTAAATTTCTTTGTTTCTTTTGTAGTACATATACATACAATACAGGCACGGATTAGTCATAGAAGAATCTTTTCTTTAAAAAAAAAATCTAACAATCTAATAATTTATGCGTTACTATTTGACCCGTATTTGTGATTATACTACACAAAGAAGAACAAATAATCTAGGTCACGATCTCAAGAAGTACCAGAAATATTTTATTGACACTATAAGATTGATTTAGTTGAATACTTCATGAATTTTTATAAAATGAATATTGTAATATTATAAAATGAATTTTATAAAATGAATATTGTAAAATGACCACTGTAACATGAAATAATATTATTTGTAGGTCTCGATTTGTCCTCAAAAAAAAAAAATCATATACAAAATAATCGAAATCACATTTCCACCTTTTATTGCCTGTTTAGAAATAATTATATTAATAATACATTTCGCGTTTTCCGAAATTATATAAAATAGTATAAATACTATTTCCTAATTTGTCATAAATTTCTTAATTTGTTAAATTTAATTTTTAAGCCATAAATGCATTAAGTATTGTATGCATACGTACAGTATAAATAGTATAATTAATACATTTAACGGCTAAAGACTGATTTATTTGTTTTGAAACAAATAAAAATAGGTTTGTCACGTGTTTATAGATATTTTTAGAAAATTAGAAAATTTTCATTTCAGATTTAATTAATAACGTGAATAATGAATAAACGAACGATCGATTTCGATTAAAAACGTAATGTACTTGCTAGATGTTTCGTACATGCTTAAAATCATGCCATTTATTTTTTTTTAATCTAATTATTAACCTTTTCTTTATCCAATTTATCCAATTTATCCAATTTGTCCAATTTATCCAAATTATCTAATTATTAATTTAATTATTTAAGCTTAAACATTTGAATTTTTTGAAGGTAAATGAATTTTAACAGTAAATAAATTTTAGTTAGTCAGCAAATCATCATCATATGCACATTACAGATATTAAGCTATACATTACAGAATACATTACAGAATACATTAATGATACTTGCAACATATTAAGTACAATATATATTACTAGACCTCTATATTTACTATATAATAACATACGCTTGCTTCTTATTAGTCTTTATCAATAGAAAACTCACTTCTTAATTATAAATTCCAAAAACAATTATCTTAATAGATAAAGTAAGTATACATTACATAGCTTGGCAGGATGTACTGTATTGAACATCATCATCAAAAAAAAAATTCAAGTACTAATAAAAAAAAATAATATTTGCTATTTATTTTCCTCTCCTCTGAAAAAAAGATTCTATAGATCCTATTGTTTGTTTCATAATTAGTTTAGTAAGTAGATCTTTGCTTGATTTATGCATCAATAAATCTGGATAGGTGGCTTGGATGCATATTATTATTTAGTATTAACGTATTTTATTGTAAAAATAATTAAAATAATTTGTGTTTGTATTTCGTAATTATTATGTTTATCGTGTTTAATGGGTTATTATGTTTATCGTAAATAAAAGAAATAATTCTTATAAACCAAAATTGTAAATTCTAAAAGAGAAATAATGAACGTGATACTTTGAAAATTTCCTTAAAATAATATTTATTATTTTCTTTTAAATAATAATTGTTTACAATTATTTAAAACAATAAATAACAATAAATAACAATAAATTTTATTGTATTATAAATAATTATTTCCATAATAATGACATCATCTACGGATTTAAGAGAAAATTATTATGTGAATATCACTCATTTTGTGTGACTAAAAAAAAAAATCATATTTCTTGTTTTTATAGAACAATAACATTAAATGAAGTCATCAAAATAGTTTATCAGAAAATTAACCAAATTTAGAAAACTTTATATGGAAGGAAATTTTCCTCGAACCTGAATCCTTTAGATGGATCCAACTATTTCTGTTTGTTATAATACTAGGGTAAGTATAAATTATATTACATAATTGTAATAATTATTAATTATTTTACTGCGCAGAATACAGAAAAAATCACAAGGAATCAAATTATTTTTGATAAAAAAAAATGTATAATCGATTACTATTATTTGCAAGTAGTTATTTATTGGTTAAACTTTGACAAATATCGTGTGATTTGTTCGTGACATAATATATTGTGTAATATGTATAATTATTTTGCTCATTAACAATTAATAATTACTATTATAATTAGTTTTACGAAAGCAGTAATAAAGAAAATAAATAATATTATTAAAAAGAGAGTGTGATACATCATTTAGGTTTGTTCGTGTTCGTTTCACTGAATTTGTGAATACGGAGAAAGTAATATCAACATTTTTATTTGGTCTTGGCGTATCTCTTGATCATTCTTCATATTATCATTTTCATTTTTTTATTTTTATTTTTATTCGCCATCTTGGATAATAATTGGAAACTTTATAATAATAATCAATGAATGAAGGTTTCTTTTGATTCTTTTGGTAAATTATGTATAACAACAACATAGATACTTAAACATATAATTGTAAATATAGTCATAAGCTACTTTTAATAAAAGAGAAGGTTGCAAAATGTCACATTTAAAATAAAAACGAAATAAATGATTTGTAGGATGTATAAAAATAAAGAAAAGGTACTACAGGACAGGAAATATCGTACCGTTGTACCTTTACTTCTATAAATATTTATTATTTACATTTTGATAAGAGTTTTTTATTCCCTTTTTTAATAAATTTCCGATAAATTTTTTTTTATTAATATTTATGGTTAATTACGGCATTTAATAATTTGGAAATATTTTACCTTATAAATTTCGCATGGTTTGTGAGTAAATAATAAATTCTGAAGATCAGATTACTTATTCTTCACGTCTAAAATTTTTAAAATATTCTGTTGATGCAATGTTTAAAAACCAATCATTTTTTTTTTTTTTTTTTTTAAAACAGTTAGAATCAACTGACAATAATAAATAATAAATAAAATAAAATAAATAAATAATAAATAAATAAATAAAAGTTTATTAATTAACAGTTAACAATTGTGATAAAAAATTATATTAAACTTAGTAATTGAAATTTCTAAAGATGGATAATAGGTATAATAATGGAAGTAAATACTGATGAAAAATTAATAAGGACACCCAGATAAAATAATATTTTTTTTTATTCAGGAGAGATTGCATTAAAGACAAAAAATATAATTTTTGATACATAGAAATTGTGTGAATTGTGTTACCGTTTTTTTCTTGGAAAATTAATTATAAATAAAAGAATATTAAATTAAGTGTAAAGAATTATTTTTAATTATTTAATGGAATCTTGTCACAAAGTCTTATTATCACGTTCTCATATATTAATAGTTAATATTATCATATATTCATATATTAGATCTCGTGCCAATCGAACAATATTAAGAATTTACTTTATTATTTATATATTTTATTTAATAATTATGGAGTTTCTTTAGGAAATTCTTTAGAAATTGGTTTTGTGCTCTGAATTAGTCGATAATAAGTACGTAAGAAAACATAATGATTGAAAAAATGAAAATGAAATATACATGTATGAATAAGAAAGGTTAAGAAGTCTGAGAAAAAAGTTGAGAAGGAACAAGTTTTAAAATTTTTCTGACGATTATTGAGTTCACTATTATTAGAATATTCATCCGATAAGAAAATACGAATTTTATGTATATTAAAATACATAAATAAAATTACTAATTATTATGATATATTCGGTAAACAAGGTGACAACTACAAACAAAAAATTTTACAATAGAAATATAAACGAAAAAAAATTCTTCAATTCTTTTTTTTTTTATCACCCGAATATCCTTTACTAAATTTATTTTTAGTATTTGATAAACAATTTAAACAAGTTATTTCTGATTTAACTACTGATTGATATTTTAAACTACAGATTATTTCATTGAAAACAATATTTGATTTTTTGATTTGTTTTGACTAATTTTGCATTATTCAATAACAACGAAATTTATATCTGTTACATTACATTCCATTTAGCCAAACAAAAAAAAAAAATTATTTCATATAAATAGAACTACTTTTTTCTTTATCTTTCTATTTTTTGGAGTTTTTGAAAAAATTTTTAATAGATATTTTATTATTATTTTTATTACATTATTAATAAATATTCAAAAAAATTTATATATTTATTCAAATACAAAAATATTCACACGAACGACTCGAATAGAAAAAATAATTTTTAAAATGTCTTTATCTGAATACGAAAACATTCCTAAAACTTTCCGTCCAATTATAACATTCTTATATACTCCCTTAGTTCATCCGAGTCAACACTCAAAGTCATTTTTTTCATTCCCGAACATCTTTTCGTTATCGCGAAAAAAGAGAAATACCAAAGTTTACATTTATTTCAAAGATTTCCATGATATTCCAATTGAATTTTTATCAGCCATATGCAAATACCTTGAACCCTCAGATCTTTTTGCTTTGTCGGGCGTTTGTAAAAACCTTCGAACCCTTTTGTTAGATATTGAATTACCTCAAATTCAAGAATTATGGCAAAAGTCGAGAGAAGAATTCTCGCCTTTCCTTTCTCTTCCTCCGCCACAGGGTATGACGGAACAGGAATATTTCCAGCTTAATGATCTTTCTCGTGGCTGCCAATTCTGCGGTCAACGCAAACGCTGGGTTTCAGTAGAATGGGCATTCCGTGTACGTACCTGTGAAGAATGCTGTGTCGTTCGTTTCGTCAAGTAAGAATCTTTTCCATTTGTCTGCGTTTCTTTTTTTATAAATAAAAAAAAAATTAATAACAAACCTTTTCCTTTTTTTCAACAGTAAAAATTCTCTCCACAACAGACGCCCAACAATTGACAAAGAAGAATTGCGACAACGTGAACACAATGAAAAAAGAAGATTGGAATTCATTTTTAACCATCGAAAGCAGCGCTTAAGCGAAATTATGGATGAACTCGAAACCGAAATATTGGACGATAACGAAAGCATAAAGAGTGGATACAGTGGTCGCTCTTCTTTGAACGGTGGAACACTAAAATTTGATTCAAATATACTCAGAAAATGCCCGGTGTATTCGGAAGAACGAAAACTAACTTACCGACCTTTCACAAAAAGAGATGAGTCAAGATTTATGCAAACGATTGACTATGAATACCAAATTTTAGTAAAGCATTACGGCGTTGTTTCTTCTTAGATTTAATTTGAAATAAAAAATTTTTATAAAACCCAAAAAAAAAAAAAAAAAAAAAAAACTCATTTTTTTTCATTTTTCCCTTGAACTTTGAAAGATGCTAAAAAGCATCGACCCAAAAAGGATTATCCTTTTTTTTTTTTTTGTTCATAAATTATAAATTGACAATTCTTAGGGGATTGTCCTTCCCTACTTACAAATTATTTTCACTTTATAACTTAATTTCTCATTTATAATTCAGTAGTTCACATATATATATATATACACATACATTTTATACATTTATTAATTATTATTATATATACGAGTGTGTAGTGAGTGGGTGTACAATTTTTCATGAAATGAGCCTTTCCCTTTACGTTCGTTTCAACATTCAGTTTTGAAAATATAGAGGTAGAAAAAGCCGTTCGCTCCGTGAGTAACGTGAGAGTAGACGCAGTAGTGCAAATTATTTCTCCTTTTTGTTAAATAGTTTTTATATATTTCATTATTATTGTTTTGGTATTAGATATATTTTTGTAAAATATTGAAATTTTATGCAGGAGCCTCTTAGACGTTCTTCATTTTTAGTAAATTCAATTCAAACATATATTATTTAACAAATAACGCTTATTATATTATCTTTTATTTTATTATATTTTATCATTATTTTCTTTTTTTACAACAATGTATGAAGCACGCCTTGGTTGGTTTTTGTATAATCAAAAGTATCTTAATACCATACCATAATATTTTCATTTATTTTTTTTTTAAAAAGTTAGGTTTTTGTCTTCGAGTAATTTCTATTGGGCATTTTAATGAAATTTTTAATATGAATTTTACTTTTACTATTTGTAAGAATAAAAAAAAAAAAAAGCAATAAAGATTCGTAAGATTTTTGTAATTCAAAAAATGATAATCCCATACGTATACCAATATAATTGTCTTTGATAATTACGCATTATTATTTACATTAATTAATTTGAGTCTTAATTTACACTACATTGAAACTTGTTTTTCTTGTCATCCACGCGAAATTAATCCTCTGTCTAAAAAATAAATGATTTTTCGAAAAGAATTTTCTATTATTTGGAATTTAATTATTTGCGTAAATTTCTCTGACGCAACTGGTACGCAAAATCCAATGTGCTTTGTAAATCATCTTTGATCTGAAATTTTTATGCATTAATTAAACCTATTAAAATACTATTACACACATTATGTAACTACATGAATAACTGTACAAGGTTAAATTTGATTACCAAATTAACGAGACTATTAGTACATTTAATGATTTATAGATTAACTTTACATTTTTGCAGTTGAATTAAAAAGAATGAAAGAGATAAAAAAATTAAAACTTTACTAAACATGAAAAAGTAATGCGTGAACCACGTAAAACAAAGCACAGTACGAAGCATGTAAATGAAGTATGATGTGACTTTTTTTATCTCGTATTGTTTCGTTATAGTCGTTTATTGTTTTATGGATAACTATTATTCTCATTTTTACGTGGCTTTATAATAAAATATTTTCATGAAACAATAGTCATTGATTTATTTTTACAAAGGCTCGTTCGGTAATCAGGTATTAAAAGTATTTTAATTTTTTACGAATAGATCAAAAATAGATTTTTAATGAACAAGTAAAAGGAAAATTTAATACATCCAATTTTTATTAAATTAATAATCGTTTCACCATTTGTAATGAAGTTTTATAATATTTTCTATACACATATTTCTTTTATCCCTATTGTAAAAAAAATTAAAAAAACGATTTATTGTTCTAAGCGTCTAAGCATGTAATCCTTGTGCATGAACAGAGATGCAAATTTTCTGATACGAAAATGAAAATTTACAATTCATCTATGTTGCAAAAGATAAAGTTGTCTCTTGAAGTTAGGTTAATTTTGGTTAATTTTTTCTCAAATAAAAAAAATTTTTATTAATTATTTCTAACAATATAACAATACAAAAATTTTGTATAAATACTATTAATAATAATTTTATAATGCTGAAGATAACTTAAGTTTGTCTATGTCATAAAACAAATCCAATAATGTTGCCGCTGACCAAGCTTGAGTTGGACATGCGTACGAACAATCTGCTCCGTCTACATTTGTTAATTCAGGAAGACCAGCCCAAGGATTTGTCTCGATTTTCGAACGATGGGGTAAGAGAAGATGTGTTATAGCATTAACAGTTTTTTTTGGCTATATGAAATGATAGTTTATTAAATAATAAATGATGATTATACAATATAACTTGAAAATTTTGAGTATACGTATAATTTTAAAGACTTACATTATCTTTACCGTCTCCAACTCGGATATCAAAATGGAGATAGGCTCGAAGGAAATAACCAGTGACCCAAAGCCATTCCTTATCATTTAAAAAGTTCATTATTATTATTATTATTATTATTATTATTATTTTTCAAATAAAATAAAATAAAAAGAAAATATTACATACAGGTCCCTGATGATAATTCCATCCTTTAGCGATAGAGGGATCTATACCGTCATAATCATTGTCATAAATTCCCCGGTATGCCCAATCTGCAGGATCAAGAGTACGCATTCCCAATGGCCCCATAAGAACTTCACGTGCTATTAACAAAGCCTGGTGCGCGTGATGTGGGTTAAATAATTCAGGTGCCTAAAACATGTATGAAATTGAGTCATCAAAAAAAATTGTCGTTTTCATTCATTTACCGATGTCTTATACTCACCACAACCATCGCAATTGGAAAATTCGGTCGTAATTGATAATCTTCAAATTTTCTTGATGATTTGCACACATCTTTGTAAATACCCCTACGATTGACAAGCTTTGGATCCAGAATATATTTTGAATCCTTATTCGGATCTTATTAATTTAAATAATAATTATTAATAAGTAACAGCATTTAATATTAACTTCTAACATAAATTAATTAATCACCAAGTGGAATATAGAAATTTTCTTCAAATGATTGTTGAACCAAATCATTCCAGTCATCATATGTAATTAATTTTCTAATACGTCCTTCTATGAATATTAATGAATATAAATGAATATTTAAGAATAGTCATTAATAATTATGAATATTTAAAATTCAATTCAACTCAAAAAAAAAAAAATATGGAAATAATAAAATTTTACCTTTCAGCTCTACACCTTTCCATGGAAAAATATCTTTATCCAACAATTCAACTATCCACCTCAATGTAGATTTCAACAACCCAATAATTTCTACATCTGCACCATCTCTTGGTGTTGCCGGTTTTCCCTTATTTCCTGCTTTCTCAGATTCACCCATTTTGTCCATCCAAGTACCACAATTAAATTCATTACCTCCAACAACAAATCCTGTATCCCAATCTACACCAATGTCAATATGAAATCCTTTTGTTGTCATGGCGTGATCAAGATTTACGCCTGCATTCCATTCTTTAAAATGTATTCCACGTGCATGACGTTCCATAATTTCTTGAATAATTTGAAGAATCGTTGTCTTGTATTTATATGCTAATGGATCATCTGCTTCAATGAATAAATCATTCTTTGGGAATCTTCGGACAATTGGTGTTTGAAGAAAATCTAAACCTTCAGGAGATAATTTACAATAATCTTGAATCGCTTGTAAATACCACCAAGTAGCATCTCGACAATTGTATCGAGGACGTCTACCACTATCCAACAAATTAGGTATCATTCCATGTTTAAGAATGGCACCAAATGCAAGTATATGATTTCTTGCAGCTTCATAATTACCAGTTGTAAGTAATAAACCACGTAATGAAATAAAAACATCACGCCCCCAAACTCTCATATGACGATTTACAAAATGAGGTAATCCAGCAGCCAATGATGGGCATATACCTGTGGGATGTAAACCAGTAGAAAGTACTGTTCCATACATTTGAACAGAACATAATGCTAACGATCGAACAAATGATCCTCCTTTATACACAAAAGGAGTCATTAGGCTTAATGACTGTTTAATGGCCCCTGCATAAGCCGTTTTAACAAGTAAAGCAAAGTACTTAGGAATTAAGAAACTTGGAACGGATTTTATGGAGGCAATTCTTTCATTGTACCAAGTACATAAATTTTTAAGGTTCGGCGCGTATTCTAGATGTCTTTATAAATTGAATATATATATATAATAATATGATTGAATATCGTTATACGTTTATAAAGATTTACTTCAAAATATATATTTACTAACCTTATAAGCCGTTCTACCAAATAATCCAAGGCCCAAGGACCTTCACGTAAATTCGCACATAACGGATGACTTAAATCGTTTTCTTTCGTAATTGGACGCAAAATTGACATAAATCCCTCTAAACCACAATATGGGATTTCTCCATATCCAGGAATGTTATACGTTCCGTGGCCAGGAGTAATATCGCTTTCTTCCCCACCGCAACGATACAATATGATGTTCAAATCGGTTAAATTCAGATCAGCAAAGGCTTCGTCAACTTCTGAAGCGATAAATCCATCAAGCTCATCATGTTGTTTATCAACCCAAGTTTTTAACAACATGACACTACCAGAAGGAAATTCATTTGGTAATATAATTTCTGTGAATTGACCATTTTCATCAAATGCTTCACGCAAATCAGGTGCATCCAAGGTTTTAAGTGAAGATGAAAGTCCAGTAAGATATTTATTTTCAAGAACGAAATCACGAGAATTAATTTCCAAACCAACAGAAAATAATAGTTCTGCCTTGGTGCCTCGTAATTTTATAGGTGACACTATTTATTAATATTTAGCAAATTAGTAAAATATAAAAATTTACAAAATAGAACAATTATTTCAAACATACATTCACCACGTATTTTTGTGGATTTAGTAAACGCGCAATGTGCGATTAATAAATATCCTCTATGGGTATGAGGATGAATACGATGTACAATAATGTGCTAAATTAAAAAATTTTAATTAGAAAAAAGTTATGGAGTTGAGATATTTATTCAATAATTATAACTTCATTTTTATAAACTTACATCATTTTCATTTCGTACATGTGTTTCAATATAACCATCTATGGACATTTCAGTATGCAAATGTTGCAAAATTTTTTTGACTACATAAAGATGAAAGAAATGTAAAATCTTAAAGATGATGTTATAAAAATAAATTTATGAAATAAAATATAAATAATTTACCTCGACTAATACCAACGTTAAGAGGTTTACTTTCTAATTTATATTGTCTTGTTTCCTTAACTAAATCGATCAAATTTGGATAGATTTCATCATATCCTCTCACACTTCCTATAGCGCATGCACTCATGGCAACAAGAGAAGCATTAGATAAAGTATCTTCGGCTGTACGTTTTTGATGAGGAGTTTGATTGTCATGGGTACAATCCATGAAAAGTGAATGTGGGTCAGATCCTGGAACTGGAATCACGATACAAGAATCATCGGACAGATTAATATCCGTAAAAGATACGTCCGTAAGAAATTCCACATCCATATACCCTTTGTAATTAGTGGGCGACTTGAGCGACATGAAATCAACTTAAAAGAATAATTTAGAGTTAATAAAATGGTTATGCGAAATTAATATTACTAATTCAAGATATAGTAGAATATAATATTCACCAAAATGTCTTCCGCCGTATTTTTGTATTACTCTACATAATTCATGAGAATCCCATGCTTGCATAGCTTCTCGAATAAGCGAATTGATACCCAACTTACGCACAAATTTGACATCCATTTCCTCAGAACCGGTGAACAATTCTGCAACAACATATAAATTAGGTCGCACACGACGTGCTGAATCAAGAAAATATAAACCAACGTGAAGTGGAGTTGAATGGCAATTATCAATTCGAAATCCGTGAAATAACGATGCAAGTTGTTCAGTATATTTTCTCATATAATCCCAAAGCCAAGGCGAGTCATCCTATGATTATTAATTATTAAAAAGATTTATAAAGATTATTTATTCTAGGGATACTAGAAAATCGCTTACATAATTAAATTACATACCTTGCTTTTACCGTATCGTAATTTTACACAATCTCCCCAAACAATCACTTCTCTCAATAAATATGCTTTCGAGTTACTTCCAACAAAATCATTTAATGGATTAGCATTCCAGATCCAACCATTATTTGCGACAATAAATGATCCTTCAGGAAAATGTCGAGTTTCATCATTATGAGGAATGATAGTGAAATATGGTTCGATAAGAGGATATCTAAAAAATATTAATATTATAAGGATGAATATATTAAAATTAAGATAATGAAAAAAAGGAATTGGTTATGATATTTACTTTCGACTAATTTCACCCTGTTTGGGACCGTGATCGTCAAGTCTCAAGTATTTGGCGCGATTCTTAACATTTTTCAGAATTACTGCTACATCACTGTCATATTGCTTATAATACGGAAGGTTCACTTCGTTGAGAAGTGATAATAATTTTTTCTCCTTAATCTCATTCAATGACAAAGTAACTCTGACCCGACGGGTCCTTGGCTTAATATTTTTCTTAATATCAGGAATAACCTGTTTTCCTGCAGAAGAAACTTTTTTATTTGCAACTTCATTGGATGTGGTTGAATCTGTTGTAACTGTTACAGTGGTGACTTCAGAAGATTTGGCCGAGTCAACTTTAGTTGATACATCCTTTGACTTAATTTCTCGAGAAATTTCGGGATTTGATTGTGGTTTGATTTCAGTTTTTATTTGTTCTTCAGATTTGCTTCTCGGTCTTTTAATAAAGGTAGGTAGCTCTGTAATTGATTCAAGCGAGAATGAAGTCTTGATTTCGGGCCTTTTTTCCTCAATACCGCGAGATTTTTCTTGTTTTGGTTTCGAAGATCCAATTTCTGGATCTGGATGTAATCTCAACTCTTCTTTTGTTGGAATATAAGTTTCATCAATTTCCACTGTATATTCAATTCTTGCTTCAGTTTCGATCAATCGTTCAATGAATGCTCGTGCTACATCAATTTTGATCTTTTTATAAAATCTTTGTCCAAAAGAACCACTTTCGTAAATACAATTATCAGCTAATAATTGGGCTTGATCTTTAAAGGAAAGTGAAGCAATATTTATATCCTTGAAAATTTCTTTGTCAAAGGATTGATTACTTTCCATGGATTTTCGAACTTCTTTTATAGTTGTCTGGACATCAATTACATAAAATTCCCATAATTTTATTTCATTGATAACATGAATTTTTGTGCTTTCAATAATTTTATTTAAATCATCTTCAGAGTGTATATGGGTTGGAAGATCAAATGAAGAAATATTTTTTGAAAATTCGAGAAAAGCTCTATCCAGTTCGAAAGCTGGAGTGAGATGCGGTGAATTTACTAAATTATAACCTATATTTAAAGATCGAATTTAATATCAAGAATATAAATATTAATATAAAAAATAATTAATATTATACTTATTTAAATATTAAATATTATAAATATTTAAATATTCAAATATTTAAAATATTTATTATGTTAAAAAAATCAATTCTTCAATACTTACAGGCTTCTGGATGTTCATGAAGCCATTCGCTATTATGAGCAGTATGATTCCATACTATATCTGTTAAACTCAAAAGTCCATATTCCTCTTCAAGATTGGTTATTGTTTTTTTAACAATTTTTATTTTTTCTTTAGGACTTTTATTGCGATCACCTTCATCAAATAAATCATCTGAGAATGACAAATGATCATATATAGAATATGGAGAATTTGATGCACCACGAATTTGCATTGGCAAAAAATGGACCATATTGTAACCAAGATCAGATGTAATTTTAACATAAGGATCCCATTGTGAAAAATTTCCCATCAATTTTGGCAGGATAGATTGAATAACTACTCCATCTAAAGGAATTGGTACCTTAGGTTCATCGGATATAGGTTCAGATGACAAAATCCTTCGTCGCGGAATTATTTCAAGAATCGGATCAACAGTAAAATAACACTTTTCCGATGTCCTTATAGCACTTTTGCTTTTTTCTGGTGTAGGTAAACTCTGATATTCTACAAAGAATTCAAAAGTTCCTGGTCTTTGAATAACTATATCCACATTGTGAGGATTTGAAAAATCACTTGGGAATCTTCAGGAAAAAAAATAAATAAAAAGAATTGATTGATAATTTATCTTTGCGGAAATATGTAAAATAAAATTTTTTACCTTTTCGCATAAAACTTCCTTCGGTCGAATTCCCCACTAAATTAAATCATCCATATAAAAAAAAAAAGAAAAATCCATCCATTTGATGTATTAAAAAAATAATAATAACTTATATATGGATAGGAAAAAGGAAAGGAAGAGGAATTCAATTTGATTTAATTTTAATTTTCCTTCATTTATCATTACCCGTTCAATGGATAATTTGTGTTCAGAACTCCTCCGTGGGAAGCAAGGGAACCGGAAGGAATATTGAAACGAAGAATGTAGGGTCTTAAAGGTGGTGGGAAACGAATATAATTTTTAATTTTACTGAGGGAACCATCTCCCTCGAGTCCAAGGCGATAAACAATGGTTTTTTCAGACATTTTGAATTTTCCCGATAAAATCAGGATACAGACTCTTTTATTTAAAAATTATAAAAATGTTTATAAAAGTGTACAACAGATCAAATGTCCGATAATAACATAATAATTAATCAAAAAAGGAAAGATGGTAGGAAGGGGAGAAAAAATATATATACTTTTTGGGATGCATATGTAAGGAACTTGGTACTACCTGACCTGAATAATTTATCTCATATAATTTTAGAACAAGCCTCATTGCATCAATATCTGATATTGTCAGTTATGATCCCCCTTTTTAAAATTTTTAGATTGAAGAAATATCGCTTTATTCATCAAACAAAATTGATACATCACACTCCAAATTTTCGACAAGTTCGATTGGAAACCAATAACAAAAATGAAAAAACATTTAATGTATGTGAGAGTAACGTAGTAAATGTATTGAAAAAACGTGGATTTGTTAATTCATTAACTAGGTATTTATTATTTTTATTATAATTTTTTTTTTTTATCAATTTTTATTTGATAATTTATTAATGACATTTCAAAAAAAAAAAAAAGTCCAAATGTAATAAATCACGTAAATAAACCAACAACGGTTTATTGTGGAGTAGACCCAACAGCTTCAAGTTTACATCTAGGAAATCTATTAGCTCTTATCAGTTTATTTCATTTTAATATTTTAGGTCATCGTACAATAATTTTGGTCAGTAAATGATAAAGATAAAATATTAGATTAAAACTAAATTAAATTAACAAAGTTAATATTCAGATCGGCGGTGCAACTGGTTCAATTGGTGATCCGTCAGGACGTAATACTGAACGATCACCGTTATCATCATCTATTGTCGAAAATAATGTTCTCGCAATTGATCGACAGTTACGAAAGTTTTTTGATAATGGCAGTAATTATGCGTTAAGACGAGGATTCATTATTGAAAATGAAAATAATAATGTGATAATTAAAAATAACTTAGAATGGTTTCAAAAAATGACAGCGCTTGATCTATTAAATGATATAGGAAGATATCTCCGTGTGGGAACAATGCTATCCAAAGATAGGTAATAAAACTGCGGCGTAATATAAAATAATTTTATAAATACGTAATTAATTGAATTGTTATTAGTGTCAAATCAAGAATGGAGAACGAAGGTGGAATAAGCTTTACTGAATTTTCATATCAATTATTGCAAGCTTATGACTTTTGGTATTTGTATAATTATCATGATTGTCAAATTCAGGTGATTTTAAACACGTTAATATTTCATAAGTTTTGGTGGTCTCTCGTGTTACTCATATTTATTTAATCCAAGTTAGGAGGGAGTGATCAATGGGGAAATATTACTGCTGGAATCGATTTAATACAAAAAAAGAAGATAACTAATTCAATTAACTTAACTGAAACTAATTATAAAGAAATTATTGATAACAAAAAGTCAAAGGATGCATTTGGTATCACTATACCTCTATTATTAACATCCTCAGGAGAGAAATTTGGCAAGTCCGCAGGAAATGCAATTTGGTTAGATGACAAAATGACCAGCACTTACGAATTTTATCAAGTATTTGTAAAAAAAAAAAAAAAAAAAAAAAATTTATTTATTTTCTTTGATTCACCGACTTATTAGATCCATTGGATTCATTACCTCTAACTCATTCTAATCCATTTTAATTCATTAGCATTTTGTGAAAGTTGCGGATACTGATGTAGAAAAATATCTACAAATGTTCACATTTTTGAAAGACGAAGAAATATCTCAAATTCTCAAAACGCATTTTGTATGATAACTTAAAATCAAATTTCTTTTATTCGATAACGCATACATCTATACATACATCTATAACATACATCTATACATAAACTCTATAATTAAATAAATAGGAATCTCCAGAGAAACACTATGCACAAGAAAAATTGGCGTCGGAAATTACAGAAATGGTTCATGGATGTGAGTTAGATTAAAATTTATAATATTCAATTGATATTTAATATATTAATTATAATGTTTAATTAGTGATAGGCCTCAAAAAAGCTCGACTTGCTACCAATATTATGTTTGGTACACCAATAAAGGACTTGTGCGGTCAAGATATAGTTGAAGCTTTTGAGAATGACACTCAACTTTTAACCACAGTCAATCGTAATGGAATTCTTAATTGTTCAATTGATCGTGTTGCAGTTTCTGCTGGTGCATGTAAATCGCGCACTGAGGCAAATAAATTAATTAAATCTGGTGGATTTTATTTAAATAATGAACGAGTAAAAGATCCTCAACATAAATTAGTAGAAAGTGATCTGTTAGATGGAATATTATTTATATTTAGAACGGGTAAAAGTAATTATCGTTTAGTAAAGGTTATAGGCTAAAAATAAATAGTCTTTATGTAACGCACTATATTATAATATAAATAAATTAAATTATAATTTAAAAAATATATCTGTATATTCTGCATACATTTAATTTATTATCCCTTTATCCCTTTATCCCTTTATCCCGGGTAAAGTTCAGCTTGTTTATTTGGACATTTAACAAACGTAAATAGCATAATTTCACATAGTCATGTGACAATTATATCATTAAAAAAATGATATTTCATCTTAAAATATTTTCCCAAGACCTTTTTAGTTACTTTTTATAAAATGTCAACTGATACTTCTATTATTATTAAACCACGATTACCACGTATCTCAATTGAATATTGTATTCAGTGTCGATGGTAGTTATTAAATAATTTCAAATAAATAAATTGGAACACAACTTTAATAAAAAAATCTTCATTATTAGGGCATTACGTGCTGGATGGATTGCACAAGAATTGTTAGTCACATTTGGTAATATTATTGGGGAGATGGTGATAATTCCTGGAGCTGATGCTGATTTCATTGTTCAACTTAATGGAGGTGAAATTTTCATTTTGAATATTATGAATATTTTGATGTTTCAAATATTCTGTACAGATTATTAATTCATTTATTCAAATTAAATGGTTAGATATCATTTGGAACCGTAAGGAAAAAGGGAGATTTCCTGAATTAAAAGAATTGGTATTTTCAATTCATAATTTTTTTTTTTATATATGTTACTTTTTATTTATATAAAATTTTTAATTATTTCTTAATACATGATAAAATGCAATGACAGAAACAAATTGTCAGAGACAGAATAGCTCCAGAAATGAATCTTGGTCATAGTGATATAAAGAAAAAAGATACTCCAACTACTGAAAGTAGGGATGTATGTGATAATGAAGGATGTTCATAATGATATTGATTATTTGTTTATGTTATTATTTTTTTTTTTTTAGGTTTGGTAAATATTATACTGTACAAATGCATTATTTATAAATTTATGATAATAAAATAATTAAATTATAAAGTAAAATAAAATAACAAATAAATTTTTATACATTTAATTTGTATAAAAATATAAAAATAAATTATTTAAATTAATCATAACTTGAAACATCCCAAAGTCTTAAAACTTCATTATAATCCTTCTTTCTTCTTCTTTTAATAGAAAAGTAACCCATTCCTCTTGGTCTAGATTTTGTAATTAATTTTTCTGGATTATCTGGCAATCCAAGTTCATTTACCGCTAATATCTGAACTCGCTTTCTAATATCTTCACGGACGCTTTTAATTTTATCATATTCTTCTTCAGGAAGGAAAAGTAATTTTGTTAATGATAAACAAGACCTAAATGCTTGAAAAAAGTCTTCAGTCCATCTAATAGTTAACCACATAATTAATGGCATTAACCATGAAGTAACCATTATAAATGGAAAAGTCATAAATAAAAAAAATATATAAATTGGTATCAAAAATATTAAAGCAATTATTATTTTGTATTGAGTAATTTCATCAAAATTATCTTCTAGTGGTAATTTCCTAATTTGATATTCTTTGTATCTTTATATTAATTTATTATGATTGAGGGTAATAAAAAAAAATTTATTAAAAATTTTATCACAAGAAAATAAAAAAATAAAAAAAATGGAAAACAAAGAAATACTAACTTTCCAGCGATAAATACTGGAGCCCACAGAATCCATCCCGGAAATGCGAGAGTGGCAAGAATTATAGTCCCAATTATACGAAAAAAAATTCTTCCAGTAAGATTAAGTGTGGAAAGTGGTTTAGGATAACTGAATCTATAATCCTTGATTCCAATTGAATCTAAAAGATCTTGATATACCTTTAATAATAATTAAAAGAAAGAAAGAAATTTTAAACATTTTAAAATATATAAAGAATATAAAATATATAAAGAATATAAAACATATAAGGGTCCAACAAATAATGATTATAGTAATTATTACGAATTAAACTTACAGTCAAATCTCTTGCCAATAAATTGATATCAATATTTTCAACTTTTTCTTTTTCCTTTTCTTCATTGTAAACTTGTAGTAAATCTCCGGAATCAATACGTTCAACGATGATATCTTTTTCTTCAGCATTTTCAATATCTGTAATACCATTTTTTTTTATAGTGTTAATTGTATTTGTAGTATCATTCTATTAATAATTAATACAATTATTTAAATTACCATTTAAATTACCAGTTGAATCATCATTTGAATCGTTTTCAGAATTGTCGCTTTCAGAATTACTTTCAATTTTTACTTTCGCTTTATCAAGTGCATTTATAAAATCTTTCGTGAGTCGCACATATTCAGCCAAAGAAATGCGAGTTCCCAGATGTCCTGAATATAATTTTCTAGCTGTATGTGCAATTCGCAATGTTTGCCAATTAGGTGCGTCAAGCGTATTTGAACGCACCAATTCTTCCATAGCACTTGTTAATTCACGTATTGCTTGTTCACTAGATATTCTTTTACCATTTTCAGTCTCAATTTTTAAAAGTGATTGATGTTTTGGTGTAAGAACAATAGGTGAATTAAATTTTACCAATACATTAGATCTAAATTTTTCTCGATGCGTATACACTATCGAAACCGTCAATAAATTAATTGAAAAATCTTCTCGATCTTTATTGCGAGTCAATGTCTAAATAAATAAAATAAATAAAAATATTAAATGAATATTTATGGTCATGAAAGATATTATGATTAATAAGAATAATTTGTCCACTTACCTCACTAGCTATTACTAAAATATTCAAAAAATTAATAATAAGTAAATTATCAATCAATTAATAAATTCAAAATAAATAAATAAATAAATTGAAAGACACTAACGTGCAACACCCGGTTTAAAAGGAGCAACCTGACTATTATATCTACTAATTCCTTCAGGAAACATACAAATACAATTTCCTTGCTCTAAACTCTAATAATAGTGCAATATAAATCAAATATAGATTTCAACAACAATAACAATGATAATTAATAATATTAATATTAATATTAATAATTTACCTCAATTAATCTTTCAAGTGATTCGGAATTATCCACTTTGGCATAATTATAATCCTTAACAAAAAAAAAAATTAAATAAAAAAAAAAGACAAAAATTATAAAAAATTTGAACAAAAAAAATGTAAAATAATTTTTACCTTTGAACGTTTAATTGGAACTGTACCAACGCCTCTTATTAGGAGACTGAAAACAAGATACAGTAATAAAAGATTTAATAAAGATAAAATAAAATTTTGTTGAGAAAAAAAAAAGATGATACCTGAATAAATCGTTACCACGCCAAAATGTATCTTTTGCTGTCATTCGAACCTAAATATAATGAATCAATTTAATTTAATTGAACAATTACAAAAATACAGTAAATGCTTTTTGATGTGATGTTTTTTAATGCTACAAACCAAATCCCTCTTTTTACTAGGAATTGAACTTAAAAGACAAACTGGATCAGTTAAAGAATTCGAATGGTTGGGACAAAGAATTGTTGGGCATCCATCTGGTGGTATGTTTTCTAATCCTTCCACTTCAATTGCATAAAATGCATTCGCTGATAATTTGAATAGCAATCTAACCAGACGATATACTAATGGAGCCATTTTTCTTTTCCTTTTTTACAAACACAAAAAAAAATGTTCAGAAATAAATTTTAATGAAGTGTTTCATATCTAACAAGCAGGAATAACCGTAACATTATTAGTGCGGGTTTTGGGGCATTTATAACGATGATGAATTGTGAAATGATGTAATTTATACCCCAAATAAATTCAATGATTTACGTACTATCATTTACAAATATAGAATAATTTTTTAAGTAAATGCATGTGATATGATGTGTTGTGACAGTATCACCTACCCCACAAGTGTGTTGCCACAGGCCACAGGGGTTAAGGGGTAGCGTAGAAATTTTCGCCCCCAAACAGGGGATAGGTATTTATCACCGCGTGTTACACCTTTCGAATATTAATTTTTATTAATAAATATATTCTAGGGACAGAATTTTTTACATGTGAAAAATATATTCGTCACCCACCATTCATCACCCGTAAAAACAACACGTAAATTTTTACTGATCACCCGCAAAATTATGTCCAATCAAATTCAAGGAAAAACGTGGGGCGAAAATTTTTATGGCGATACTGGGTTAAATGGGTAGCGTATATCGTTATGTGTCGTCACCAACCTTCATCACCCCATAAAGACAACACACCAGATTATGGTCTAATCAAATTCAGGAAAATTATAATATCACGTGTGGGTGAAAAGTATCTGTTCGCTACTGTTAGGATATCCTAACCAAGGTTGCAGCTGAACCTCTTAGCTACACAAACCAGAATCCAATTCCCAAATTCCCATGTCAATGACCAATCTATTATTTTTTTAAAAAAAAGAAACCTCTCGAGCAAATATTAGCAAACCAAAACGATAACAAAAGAATACTAAAATCGAAAAGCTGCACAATCCAGAATCCAATTTTGTGTCAATAACTAATCTATTATTTATTTTTTTTAAAAAAAGAAACCTTAAGCAATATTAATCACTAATAAATAAATATATAAGCCTCTATAAATATTATTTAATTATGGAAAATGACTTGACTTTATCCCGCGATCATAATAGATTTTCATTAATTACGTTTGATTTTGGTTGGTGCCAACACATGTTTCGACTGTAGGATCTAGAAAGATCAAGAAGAAAATTGCATATTATCAATAATAAAAATTTATGAATTTAAATAAAATATTAAGGAAATAACTACAGAACGGAAACCATGCCCACTCAGCAAGATCCTTAATTGTAAATTATAGAAATAATAAATACAAATAACTGTACGATGATGCCACACTCACCTAGTTAAAGCAGCGAAGTGTATTCATGTAATGATAAATAAAATATTTAATAAATAATAAATACTTGGCCAGCGAAATAGCTGGGCTCATTATGCTTACTCTGGTAAGTATTAACACTTCATTAGTTTAAGCGAAACATATAAAAAGAAAATGATAAATAATAATATTATATAAAATACTATATACGTAAATAATAGATCTTTCAAATACCATATTATGGAAAATTTATACTTACCGTGGTAAAATGTTGTGAATCAAATTTTGAATTAATTACTATATGTGCTGAAAAAACTTACATGTATACCAGAAAAATAAAAAAAAATAGAGAACAAACCCAGTTAAATTAGAGAAAACTATACTAAAAGGATTTGAAGGTAAAGAAATTTTGTGTTTTTTTCAAAGAAAGTTTTTTGGAGAAAGAGAAATGTTAATAAAAATTTAAGATCTGAAATAAACAAACTATATAAATATTTATTGATTGACCAATCAGAATAGAGATATTGAGTTTATAACAATACAAATATACGAATTAACAAATTTACTGTTTTTTATGATTTTTTTTAAAAAAAGAAAATAAATAATAAAAATTAATAACATTATCAGTAAAATATGTTACTTGGTTACTTTTAGAATCAAGATGAATTTTTTTCTGTTATTTAGAAATAATTTTATATAAGAAGAAAAAATTTATTTGTTAAATTTACTATGTTTTTGGATTCCGTCTTGCTAAATAAATATTATATTATATATATTCCCAATTTTATTAATGAAATTGTCCGAATCGTGAAAAAAATAAACATAATTATTAGTTATAGTACTTTAAAAAGCACGTTATTCATTAATAGAAATAGTGCAGTGAAATAGAGACTATTAATTATTCACAAAAAAAGAAGAAACCAACGTAACTTCTTATATTATGGAAGAAAAGAATACATTACAACTTCATGGATTATATTTTTTAATCTGGAAAGAATTGAATTAGATACTTTTTTAATATATTAATAATTCATGGAATCTATCTTAATCATTTCTTAATCATATATTTAGAATGTCTAACATCAATGAAATATAGACAAGTTATATGAATCGTTGTTGATGAAGGTGAGCTTGGTGAGATTCAAGCTTTAAATTCTTGTGAGAATTTTACTTGCTTTATTTCAACATTTTAAAATAATTTATCACTTAATTTTCAAATGTCTTATTTTGATAAGACAATATAAGGATATAATATTATATTATAAAATAAACTACCTTCTCTCAAAAGATAATGTGATTAGAATGCAATGAGTAGAAATATTAAAACATATGATCACACTTGTAATACTCTTGAAAATTGATTTTTTTATTAATTCTTGGATTCTCTTTAAAAAAGATGATACGGTAATTTATTATATACAATATAAAAATGAAAAAAAAAAAAATTAAAACTACAAGACAAATTCGAAGCTGGATGAAAATTAATCATTCTAAGTAATAAACTATTCTATTAAAATAAAAAAATTAGATCATTTTTCTAAATGTAAAATTAGATAAATATTTGAATAAAATATTTCATAAAATATGTAATATTCATCAATATCACCATTATTTGTATGAAATCTAAATCTCAATCAATTTTCTTAATTACTTGGTCTTCATTCTTCGTGGTCATCTTAAAATTGTTAAAATTAAAGATATTAATAATTTAATTATTATTTTAAAGTATTTAAACATCGTTAAAAATAGAAATTATTTCTTTTACATCATTTTCTTCAATTTCCTTGGAGGCAGCAAATAACATATCCACCCAATTACTATTCAAATTTATTAAAAATACATATATATTAATATATATTAATATATTAGTATATATTAAAATCTGATAAAATAATTAAATTTTAAATAATTATAAATTATTTTATTAACCTAAAATCATTCTGATGAGTCCTGTCTATAAATGAATTTATTACTTCTTCTTCTTTTAATTTATAAACACCTTCAACAAGTGTTGATGGCATTGTTTGTTTGCTAAAGAGACTTTCCAAGAAAGCTCCGGGATTATATTTCTCACTTTTTGGTTGTACTAAAGTATATAAAAAAAAAAATAAATAAATAAATTAATAATAATGAGATTTAATTCTATTATTATTAAATAGAATATATGAAGGTTCACATGTTTTAAATGTTTTATTACCTGGTAATGCCTTTATTTTTTCGTCATCTAATTGACGACCAGTTCTTCTTTTTCGAGAAGGATAAGGTCTGTATGACCCTTCCCCATTACCATTATTAGTTTTTTTAATAGTTTTTGCAGCAGGCTGTCTAGTTGATGTTCTAGTATTTGACCTTACTCTATTTATTCTTATTTGAGATGTCAGAATGTAATCAGGAAGACTAAAGTTTCTAGTTTCACAAATTAATTCAAAATCTATTAATTTGAAAAATTTAGGTTCGAATGTACTAATGTTCGCCATCTTTATTACTATAAAAACAATCTTTTGAAATTAAAAATGATACTAAATAATATAGATATTTGTATAACATTATTTATGCTACAGGATTTCCATTTCAAAATAATTAGATAATAAAATATTCGAAATTAGTAACTAATTTAGTTAATTTAAGTTAATTTTTAGTGACACATCATTTCAATTTGTGTTATCAAATTTCATACTGTATATTAAAAATTAGTGAAGCAGAAAATTAATACAAATTGGCATAATGAAGGAGTGGATATTGTATATGCTGAATACACATATACACATATGAGAATGACATATTTAAGAAACTGTTAAATATTATTTTAATATAAATTTATGACAAAATTATTATATAATATTTATACTCTTTTTTTTTTGTAACCTTACAAATATCATAATATTCTTTAGTAGAGCATTTAATTACTCTTCCATTTTCCCTTTTTTCATTTACTTCATTTACTTCTACAGCTACAAATAAATCACAATGACCTGATCAATTTCAATGAGCTGTTATACTCCAATTATCAACTTTTTAATTCTTTTTACTTAATATCATCAATCTCTATACTTAATCTAAATTTACTTATTCAACCTGTGAAGACCAGGCAATATTATTTTATCAATATTATTATTATTGTTATCAATTTTACCATTAATATTATTATTATTTTCATTATACAATTTAATAAAATTTTCTACTAACAAATAATATAATTCCATTTTGTTTCAAAATATTATTATCATAAATTTTATAATTTTGGTAACATGATAATTGATCTATAATAAATAATATAAATATTATATTAAATTGCTAATCTCCGAATCGATAAGAATGTAAAATTTATAATAAAAAAAAAATTTGTTTAAAGCAAAGAATTGCGGGGCGATTTTGCTAAAATTTTGTTAATTTTATAGAAATTTGAGTTTTACAAAATTATATTAAAATACTCTGGAAAATAATAAATTCAATCCTAAAGTTTTTAATTTTTAGGTAAATTTTACATCATGAAATAATTTAAAATTTATAAAAATAATAAATATCTGTGAAATTCTTTATAATTCTTTCGATTCTTTACAATTATCATAAAATGTTGCCAAAAAAATTAAAACCTAGATTTAAAAGTCATGGATTGCCTATTAAAATGTTAGTTAAATAAAAAGATTTTTATGATTTTATGAATAGAAGAATGCGATTAATTTTATCGCCAAAAATTTTTAAAAAAAAATATAGTAATAATGAATTGTTGGCCAAACAAATAAAGAAGTTAAGAGTATCGAATAATTCTTCGAACAATGATTCGAATAATGCTGCCGCTCCATCAAATAAAATTAATGATTCATGGCAAACATTATCTAATGCTAGAGATAATAAAAATGATATAACTGAATATTACAATGACAGAAAGTTCTACAATGGCAACAAAAAATTCAAAAAATCTTCTTTGAAAAACAATAATATACCACCGAAAACAAATGCAAATTCAAATAAATCGAAAAAGACAGGAAAATCGGTTAAATTTAGTTTGCCAGATGAATCACAATCTAATGAAGGAGCAAAGCTTTTAATGAGAAAGTCAAAGAGTAAGTTAAATAATTGGTCGGGATAAATAAATTCAGTAAATTCGAATTCTCTTATTGTTAAAAAAAAAAGAGAACGAAGAAAACTGAAAATGAAGCAATGTCCGCGTTGAATGTTGATGGTAAATATAGACAAAAAAAAATCTTTAATTCATAATAAATTTTCAACATTAATAATATTAAAATAATTTTTCAAAAAAAGTAAGACACAGCAGCTTTGTAAGTATTAATATTATTATAAATAAATAATTCCTTTTTGAGTTTTATTAAATTATAACATTAAATTAAAGAAGTCTCGTCAAGGCGGATCCAGTTCCTGGACGATGTAATAATCTTGTTAAATTGTAGGCAATCTTTAATTGTGTTAAATTCGAATTTTTTGATGATTTATATACATATTTATATAAATATATTTGATATGGTAATGAGATTAAGAAAAAGGATTATTTATGGATGAAGGACCATATAAAATTACCATACGCGTTAGAATTAATTAACGAACGAGATTCCTTATTTATAATTAATCCTGTTGAAAAACCTCTTACTCTACGTAACGTGAATGCAGAATAATATATTTATATGAAAGAAAATGATATTGTTAAGTTATTTTATTTAAAATTATTTAATTTATTTTTTATTTAATTTTATTTTTGATTTTTATTTTATTTTAGGTTGTAATAATTTGGTTAAACGACGAAATACATCATGTTGGTTCGTTTTTCCCATCAATGACAAAATAGTTTAAAGACTAAAGTTATCTAAGCGTCCAAGAGTTCTATATATTCTGTAATATAATCATTGACAATGAAACTATTCATATTCAAAACGTTCCATTAAATTGGAATGTTGAGACCTTCATTTATATTTATAATTGTGCAACTGATGAGTGCTTACAAGACGAATATAAAAACGCGCCGTAGTAACTTCAGGATGAAGTACAAATCGAAGAAGGGTCATCTCAATACTGGCGAGAGATTGGAATAGAAACAAAGGAGCGTATGCGTTTCTGAAAACCATCATCACGTCACAAAAAGTACCATTGGTAGTAACACAGTAAACAAAACCATGAACAGGCTAGGACATTTTTACATATACGTACCAGTTCCTTTAGATGTCATCGATAACCAAGAAGATGTCAAGGGAAAGGTGATATCGCTCGATCCTTGCGTTTGAACATTCATGCCGTGTTATGATCCGGAAGGACAAATCGTCGAGTGGGGTAATGGAGACCTTGACAGGATTTTTAAATTATCAAAAAAGTACGATAACTTGCAAAAGTGACAAAGATCAGGCTCTTGGTAGATCAAACAAGAGGAAACGATACAGGTTGAGAATGAAGATGCGAAGGATCGTTAAAAAGATAAGGAACTTGGTCGATGAATGCCATCATCAATTGGCTCGCTGATTATGCAAGAGTTATGAGATCATACTGTTACCAAAATTTGAATCTTCAAACATTGTCTTGAAGAACAAGAGAAAGATCGGGTCAAAGACGGATGATGCTCACATGATCACATTTCAGGTTTAGGATGTTTTGCAACATAAAGCAAGGGAATTTGTGAACTGCAAGATAATCGAATGCACAGAAGAGCATACATCGAAGACTTGTGGGAATTGCGGATTCATTATAAAAAGTCTTGGTGGATCAAAAACGTTTAGATGCGATTCTTGCAATTTGATGATTGATAGAGATGTTAATGGAGCCAGGAATATCTTGTTCAAACATTTGACAGAGAGTCAGGTTCACGCCTGACTCTGGGACTTGAACTTATATGGGATTCGATATGGATAGTAAAGACTAACTTTATTTATTCTTATTGGATTCAATTTAAAAATGTAAGCAAAATGTCTATTTTTTTACTTTATTTTTTTTTGTTTCATACAGCATTATATATTTACATATTAAATATTAAGTATTAACTGTAATTAACTTTAAATTAATCTAGAAAATTTGCCTCTCGACAAAATGCATAATTAAATAATTATTATTATTACGTATTGTTGTTTTTGGTAAATTATTATTATTATTATTATTATTATTATTATTATTATTATTATAATTATAATTATTATTTATTATTATATTATTATATTATTATATTATTAAGTTATTATTATTAAAATTAATTATTATTATAAAAAAAAAAAAAAAAAAAAAAACAAACAAACAAACAAAAAATATTTTTAATTAAACTTCATGTAAATATTGTTGATTATAAATCCAACCGTTATTCATTGAAAATTGATCTTGTGTACAATAATTATTACAATAATTATTGGAAATTTCAAAAGGTGTTATCATATCTAATGATAAAATATCAACATTTCTTTCATCTTGATGATTATTATTATTCGTATTAGAATAATAACTTCCTGTTAAAAGTCCATCTGTAAGTACATCTGACATCCTTGGATGTTGTCCTGGTGAATAAAGAGGTGGTGTCAAATATGGTGATGTTGGTGAATAAAATGTTGGTGTTAAAGGTGTTAAAGGTGTTGAATTTAAAATTGGTGATAAAGTTTCTTGGCGCCCATCCCGTGATATCATATCATGATATCCTTGATATTGAATATTCGAAAGTCGACCTAATACATTATGTTTTGAAATTTGTTTTTTTGTTTCACCATCCTGTGATTCCCCATCCTCACCACATCCCGAAATTGACGAATTTGATGATGAATCTAATGATGCTTTCTTTTTATTCTTAGAACCTGACTTAGACAATTGCTTATGTAACCATTTAACCTCTTGAGCGATATCACCATATTTTTTAATTACATGATTTGGTTCTTGTTTCCATGCTTGAGCCGCTAAACAGGATACTTCACTCATAGAAAGGTTATACCCTTGTGATCTAACTTCTTTTGCGAATTGATTACGATAAATTAAAAATTTATTTGTACATCTTGCGAGAAGGGCACCTTCTTTATTGGTTCTAATTAATGAGGTAGCATCTATTGCCGGAGGAAAAGGTACATGTATCGGAGCTCTTAATTTAGGTTCTGGACGACGAATTGCTCTTACGGGTGTTGGTTCCGTACCATTCTCTAAGATTATTACAAGTTCTTGCTCAGCTACTCTAGTTTCATTGTATAAATCTATTTGGTGAACAGGTTGCGACATCATAGTATTTATCATATTTTTGAATATTTTAATTTATAAAGATTTATTTTGAATTTATGTTTATGTTAAATTTATTTTGAATTTAATTTGAATTTATATTAAATATTGAATTTTATATATGAATTATGCGTTAAAAAATTTAATAAAAATTTTTGAATCAATAATCGCAAAAATATAAGTAAAGAAATATAAGCAAAGATTGTCTAAATCAATGTTCTGTTGTTGGGGGTAAAAACTGAGTCTTGTATTTATAGCTAAAGTCCCAAATAATTACGAATATTAAAAATTATTAACAAATTAGTTATCTATCTCATAAGTAATATGTAATTAAACCGTAAAAGGGTAATTATAAAACACGTTGAAAAATCAAAATCTAAAAAAAAATAAATTTGAAAATCTTTAAGGAATAATGCTTCATAAAAAACTTACGGCTTTTCCCAAAGAAGGTTCATCTTCGGAGACTTTGATGATCGAATGTCAATTTTAAATTGATCCACAAATTACATATACAACACACGCTTTCACAAACAAAATTGGAAGAATTAGAGTTAAGTTGTTTCAAGAAATAATGTTCTTGTGGAGATTTCCATACATTGTAAATCAATAAAATTAATTAATTAAATTTCAATAATAAATTTTGTTGTGATGTGATTATTAATCAATTCAAATAAATTTAATTTTTCGAAATAAATTCAGAATTTCAATATTTGAAATTTATTATTAAAAAAAAATTTTTTTTTTTTATTATTATTATTTATGGTATCATATTTTTTCATTCATTGTTATTCATAGAAATATTCCCAAGAATTTTATTTGTAATTATTATTATTGTTCGAGATAAAACATCATTAATAATACAAATATCAAAACCATATACGAATTGTTTCTTAAGAGATAAATGATATGTAATTCCCTTTTCCATTATTGTAAATTTCTTTTTAGTTTCAGCTTCGTCGATACTAACCAAGGTAGTCTTTATTTAAAGATCGGTTTTCTCGTAGTCACGCATTAAGCATTAGACAAAGTCCAAGTCACGCATTATTTTACTATCACATGAAAGCATGAAAGGCAAAATTGGTCTTGAAAAAATCGGCAATTAGTTCTTTTTTTAGATTAAAAAATGCTTATAGATAATTTTTTATAGATTTAATTACAAAGTATTAACTAAAAAGGTTAATGTCAAATTTCTGCGAATCATTTTTCCACCAAATTTAGAAATGAAGAAAACCGGAAATGATACCTTCAAATGGGATAAATTTATCTATTTTTACATATTTTACCGATTTTTTAAAAAAACTTTACAAATATTTCTCCGGAAGATCACGAATTTAATATATATGTTATACAAATACATGTGATCATGTTATCATGTGATCAGAAATAATGGTGATAAAGATTATTTTTTAATTCCAGATCAAATTTTTTTTAAAAAATATTATCTTTATGGACCAAGAAACTGCGCATATATTATTTAATCAAGGTGCATTTCTACTTTTTTTAAATGCGCCTCGAGGATTAGAGGTAGATTTCAAAAGTTACATGTAGTAACCTAACGTGAATTAATAAATCCTGATTCATATTTTTTGAGTTATTAATCTATAATAGTTTGGTATAATAGTTTGGTATAGACTATAATACCTGGGAAATCGGACCAAAATTTAAAGGAATCAAATTTATTCCTCCAGGTTTACATTTTGTATATTATAGGTAATGATTTATTTTTTTTTACAAATTCAATTTATAAATTTATAAATTAAATGAAGTATGTAACTAATAATTATTTTTAAAAAAAGTACAAAGGATAAATTTGGAGGGATTTCTGGATTAAGGAATGGTTTTTTCAAATTTTATGAATCTAAAGAGGTATTTCTGGATTTATACAAAAAAAAAAATAATTGGATTGTTTAATTATTGTTATTATTATTTATTAATTAATTATAATAGGTGTTAATCAAAGAATGGGATACATCTAAAGAAAATCTAAAAGAAGAAGATCCTGAACAATATGAAGTAATAAAGTCTGGTAATACTATGAAAATACAAAGATATTATGTTGTGAAAAATATGTTTAAATATATTAAAAGATATCAAATTATAATTTTTAGATATGAGAGAGTGGGATCAATATTTAGGTCCTTATCCATTAACTCCACCAAAAAATTGGAAGAAATGGGTTCAATTAACAAATTTAATAACACCATGGTTAATAAATAAGGTGTTTCCACATAAAGGAAAAGTGAGTAATGCATCTTCTTCAACAGTTGATGAAGAAGAATTACAAAATATTGGAACGAATTTTGAAGAGGAAAATACTATAATGTTTACAAAATTTGATATAAAGAAAAGTTGGAGACCTGGAGCAGTTGGGCAAGAAGTAACAAAATATAGTCAGGATAAAAGTTGGTTACTAGAAGATCTTCTTAAAAGAATTTATAAAAATGGTAATTATACACAATTGACTATTGTCAATTATCAACAGCTTTTTAAATAATCATAATCATATTTGATATATCACTCCATATTATTTTATATCAATTTATCTTATTTTATATTATTTTAAAAGATTACAAAGAACTTTTAGGGGAACTGCAACTCTCTTTCGTTTGTTTATTAATGGCACAAAATTTTGCCGGATTCTATCAATGGAAGAATATAGTGCAACTTATTTGTTCAAGCAAGGAATCAATTTATATTTACTCTGACACATTATTTATGGCTTTTCTTGGTAAAAACAAATTTCAATTGTAAATTAATATTTAGAAGATATAAAATCTCACTTTATTAAATATTTTATAGATGTCCTAATGTTTCAATTAGAAGAATGTCCACAGGATTTCTTTCACGATGTTATATCAGAAAATAACTTTCTTTCCGTCATGTTAAAGGTTTATAGCTTTTATATTATAAGATTTCATTATTTCATGCATGCATCAACTTTTATTCTTCTCAACGATATAATTATATATTAGATATTTCATAAGAATGTCAAGGAGGTATCAACAGAGTCTTTAACAACAGATATTCAACAACAACGACCAGAACAACAAAAGAATAAATTAAATACACTTAGACACAAATTCGAAACATTTCGCGGTTTTCTTAGTCAGAGATTTTCTTGGGAAGTTGGTGATAGAAATTTTGAAGACGAAAAAGAAGAAGGAGAGTTTGCACCCGTTGTTGTTGAATTTCCTCAAGAACAAGAAAACGAAATTGAATATATAACAGAATTTGGGTCTGACGATACTTCTTAATCTCATAATCCTGTAAAATATAAAATTTTTGACTGTAAACCATTGTGTAATATTAATAATATTTATTTTTATTTTATTTTTATTTTATTTTTTATTTTATTTTATTTTTTTTTTTATTTTTATTTTTTTTTATTTTTTATTTTTATTTTTTTTAACTATTGTGTTATATTTAATAATAATCAGTATTTAACTAAAAAAAAAAGGTAATAAAATGTCCAAGTTCTATTTTAAGTGTTATTCTACAATTTAATGAAATATGTTTTTTCTTACTTCCTGAATTGCCGAAATGATATTTTGATATTTTATGATACAAGCCATTAAATTTATGTAACGCCTTATCTTGGCTTTTATTAACCATCATTTATTGTTATTTACAATTATTTATAATTATTTACAATTAATATTATTTGAAAATACCAAAACCAAGACTAAATTAAGACAAAGCCCAAGCCATAATGAAGAAATAAACCTGATAATAACGATATAGTAGAAAATCTTGTTTCTAAAAGCTTATATTTTTTGTAAAATATTTCAAATAAAAATACACTTTTTTTTTTTAATGAAATTTTTGATTTAAACATTCAATTTTCTTTAAAGACATATAATAATCGTTTTTTTTTTTTATGAAGCATTTAACCGAAAATGTCTGATGAAAAAGATTCCGCGAGTGAACGGGTGGAAATTCCAATTTTAGAAGAAGTAATTATTTAAATTTCCATATTAAATATATAACAATGAATACAAATGTATGTATGCACGATGAAAATACAATTAAAAATATTCTAAACAAAAATAGTATGAAAGACCATCATTATTCTCACGTATTGGTTCAAAGCATAAATCATCACAATCAACAATAACTACTGTAACTATTGATTTGGAAGTTAAAGAAATTATTATAATAAAAATTGATAAACATCGAGAATTGCATTTATTAAATCGAGAAGATGAAAAATTATATGAAAGAATAAGAGATTGGATGAATGATCACCCAGTAGCAACTTTACAAGATACTGTAGATAAATTTTGTGAGATATATATATATTTTTTTTTATTGTGATTTTATTGTGGCGCAACATTCAGTACTATCTTCGACTATAGTACATTCCTATAAGTCGTTTCTTTTTTTTTATTTTATTATCTTATTAATTAATATTTAATTATTATATCTTGATCGAATAGCATCTGAACCCACAGGAGATGCGATAGCAAAAGTTTTACACAATTTCCCCTTTCCAGATTTTATATTGAAATTTAATATTGATGAACGTGAGAAACTAACCAAGAAAAAACCATCCAAAAAATTAAAAAGAAAAAATTTCGAGAGATTATTATTAAAAAGTGGATTAATAGTAGAAATAGAACAAGATGCGGCAAGAGATAATGAATTTTTTGTAAAATTATATGCTCCCTTTCACCAATTATGCGAACAAGCTCAGCAAATTAAATTAAAGATGAGATTGAATGTAAGAAGTGTTTATTGATGATTTTATTACTATTTATTACTACCCATTGTGTTATCTATTGTTATCTATTACTATTTATTAATAATAATATTCAATTAATAGGCAAAAATTGCAGAAGATATTGATATAGTATTGCCGAAACCTAAATTTCATTCAATAATAACGAAATATTTTACGCATATTGTTGATTTTAAAAAACAAGCGGCATTTTTCAGGATAAGTAAATTGCGACAATTTCAAGGAGCCGAGCCAGATAAATCAGAAGGAGAAATTATATTGAATTTTTTTTCCATGGCAAGAAGGAATTTGTTGGTAAATTACTGTGATTTTTTTTTTTGATGTATATAATATTTTTAATTATTTCTTACATTCATTATTAAAAAAAAAACTATTATTAAAAAAACTATTATTATTTATATCATATATAATATTATAATATTTATAAAGGTTCATCGAATGATAGTGACTGCAAATCAAATGAATAAACGCGTAGATCTCGGTGGAATTCCAATAATTGTCAAAAGAAACATCGATTCTTTATCTCTAAAAAAATTATCAAAAGAAAAAGTATTTACAAAACATTATCCATTACATGATGGACCAGATAATGCTGAAAAAGGTACACCTTTATCATATATGAATACTAGAGCTTATTTAAATGAAAAATGGGTTAAAGGTTGGAAAAGACAACCAATAGAAGCAATTAGACAATATTTTGGAGAAAAGCTGGCACTTTATTTTTCTTGGTTAGGTTCGTTTTTTTCATTTATTTTTATTTTTATTTTTATTTTATTTTTATTTTATTTATTTATTTTTTAATTATTTATCATTTTATTATTACCTTTATTTATTTTATTTATTTTTTAATTTTAATTTTAATTTTTTTTTATTATTAGGATTTTATACTACCTGGTTATTTTTGGCATCAATAGGTGGCGTTGCAGTTGTTATATTTGGATTAGCTGATGCCTTGAAGTATGTTTACTGGAAAAGAAGGAAGGTTCTATTAATATATTAATCATATTAATTATATTAATTATATTAATTATATTAAGCGTTGGACCACTTGGAGATGACGTGAACTCAGTTTCGATTCTGTGGGATAATGCTTTAACAGCTCCTTATGCATTTTTTATGGCTGTTTGGGGTAAAAATATATAAATAATTAATTAATTTAATTTATTTCAAGTTTAAACATAAAAATATATTATTTAAATAAATTCGAATTATTTTTATTTTTTATTTTTTATTTCATATTTTAAGCAACCTTGTTTCTAGAAACATGGAAAAGAAACATGGCAAAAATACAATATGATTGGGATATTCTGGATTTCAAGAAAGACGAATTACCGCGACCTGAATTTTATGGAACAAGTAGGTTTATATCAAATTAATAATCATTAATAGTCGGTATATTGTTAAATATTAAGATATTTTCAACATTTTCGATATTCCAAAAAAAAAGCTCTACGTAGATCTCCAATTACATTAAAACAAGAAATTCATTTTCCCTTCAGTCAAAGATTTCGAAAATTTTTTATTTCGGGATTTGTTGTTTTTTTTACGGTACGGTAAAACATCATTATGATAATTTATTAAGATTGACACCAAAACGTTGAATCAACTTTATTTCATAGGTTTATAATTTTTTTAATTAGTTAGGAATTGTAGTTGTGACAATTGGAGTATTGTTAATTTTTCCAAAAATATATATTGAAAAAAAAATTGGAAATCTATCTTCATTTGTTACAAGTTTTGTGAATTTAGTGACTATTTTGATACTTAGCATGGTATTCCATTTCTTTCATTATTCTATTTTCTATCATTCTATCTATTATTCTATTTATTATTCTATTTATTATTCATTGGACTTTAAACTTTTTAGATCTATCAAAATGTCGCAAGGTGGTTAACAAATTTCGAGAATCATAAAACATATTCACTATATGAAGGTATATTTAGAAAAATTGTACAAATTTTCTACTCTCACTTAACCATTTAATTTTATAAATTTTTTTTTTAATACAGATTCTTTAATTATCAAAACATATTTATTTGATTTTTTCAATAATTATTCTGCATTATTTTACATAATGATATTTAAACAGGTAAGATATTATTAAAATAAGATATCGTTAATATATCTTTCTAATTTTAATAACTAATATGTATTCTCTTTAGTACATTTATGAAATCATCCCTCTTGAAGAATTAAAAGTAACATCATGCGAATATGGTAGTTGTATGTCCGACCTTACTATTCAATTAGCGATCATATTGATTGGAAAACAATTCTTTGGTCAATTTAAAGAAGTGTTATACCCGTAAGAAGAAAAATTTTTATAAATTATTATTATTATTATTATTATTATTATTATTATTATTATTATTATAACTATTGTTAAATGTCAAATCTACATTCTAAAATGTTTAATTTTAACGAACACGTACAGTTGGATTATAAGTAAAACAAATAAACAGCAAATCATCGATGAACTTAATTATTTAAAAAGTAGATATGCAAAATCTGGGCGAACAAATAAAGAAATTCCACAATGGGCTCAAGATGAAAGATTGGCCCATGTGGATAATGCTATTCGATCTGAATATGAAGAAATGGGTAAATGACGATTGTTGTTGTGGTGGTGGTTATTATTGATTAGTATTATTATTTAATTAATGGTTTATTTTTTAGTCGTTCAATTTGGATTTATTTCTCTCTTTGGTCCTGCATTTCCATTGGCTGCATTATTTGCTTGGATTAATAATACCTCTGAAATAAGATTTGATGCATTTAAGGTATATTTAATTATTATAATGTTCTTACTTTATTAATTCTTAAATTTTGATATGATATTCTTTATTCTCTTTATATTCTTTATAATATTATTTATATTCTTTATTATATTATTTATATTCTTTAATATATTCTTTATATTCTTTAATATATATTTTGATAGTATGTATCAACATTACAAAGACCAGTTGGATATCAAGTTCAGGATATTGGAATGTGGGAAAACATAATGGGTATAATATCACAACTAGCAGTATTAACAAATGCTATAATTATTGCATTTCATTCAAATTGGATGAAATCAACTTTTCAAAAATTTACTGGAGATAATGAAGATTTATTATTAATTGCCAGACTTACATTTATTCTGGTTTTTGAGCATCTCGTGTTTATTATTAAACTTATATTTGCATATCTAATTTCGGATATTCCAAAATCAATTAGGGTAGCAACTGAAAGAGAACATTATATAGTTAAATTAACTTTAGAAGATGAAGCTCCCGCATTAGATGAATATTTGGCTGCATCAAATGATACTTCATTATTTGATGAAAATTGGGAATTAAAATTGCCAAAGAAAAGAAATATGATTAGTAATATATTCGATAAAACTAAAACTGGAACCAATAATTTTAAAGATATAGGTGATGATGGTGGAAGTTTAATTGAATAATATTTGTAATATTTTTAATATTTAAATTTTTTTTTTTTAAATCTGTATTAATAAATTTATATAAATTTATAAAATAAATAACGGTGTCAAATTATTCTCCATTTTCGGAAAATGAATTTTATTAAACATATGATTTAATTCAAAAGCACGTGTAATTTTTGGAGAAAATGTCGATCAAAAGTAATTTATTCATGTTGCGACATTGATTTTCTAAAATTCATGTGAGATTAATTGATAAATGCGTCTATTTACATCGGTTTAGTGTTTTATATTATTATATTATTGATTAGATATTTTATTGGATTTTTAGTTTTGGTTTTTTGGGGGGGTTTTTTTTTTCTCTGGGATATAAAAAATATAGAAAAAAAAATATGCAACAAATACAACATATATGTCAATTTCCGTTCATTATTTTAAAGAAAATTTTCACCTCAAAATTAATATCATCTAAAAAAAATGACTTCAAATTTTCATGCGGATTTGGCTAATGATATAGGATTGCTTTTCAAGAATGGTCAAAATTATGACGTTATGATTCATGCAGGAGAAGAACCAAACGTTAAAGAATTTCCTGCTCATTCTCTCATATTGTGCTCTAGGTCACCTTATTTTCAAATTGCTTTGTCAAGCAATTGGGCTAGAAAGAAAGGTGGTGTGACTATTTTTAAGAAACCAAATATTTCTGCTAATATTTTCAATATTATACTTCAGTAAGTATGCTGTCTTCTTAACAAAATAATTTGAATCTTTATTTCTTTATTTGGCTTAAAAATATCCAATATCCAAAAATATAAAATTTTCATGATTTTTGAATTATTAAATCAAAAAATAAATTTTTATTTAACATATTTATTATTCTTTTTCTTTTTCTTAAAAATGGAATATTTTAATTCTATTCTTTTCTATATTAACTTTTTCCATAAAAAAGATATTTATATACTGCATCTATTGATTTGGATTACTTGTCTGGAGTTGAAGTTTTAAAACTTTGGGTAGCATCTGATGAATTAGATTTACAAAAACTCATAACTTTCATTCAATCTTACGTGGCGGATAAAAAAATTGATTATCTTCGAAATGATCCTGTACAATTTATTCAAACCACTTTTCGTTATGAAACTTGTAAATCTTTACGTGATTTCTGTATAGATTCAATTTGCGCTGAACCAAAAATCCTGCTTAATTGTGCTGATTCAATTAACATCGAAGAATCTTTATTACTTTTATTATTAGAAAGAGATGATCTTTTAATTGATGAAATTGAAATTTGGCAATATTTGCTTAAATGGGGAATTTCTCAATCTTCTTCACTCATATCACTTGATATTAAAAATGTTTATGAATGGAGTGTAGAAGATTTTACAATGTTAAAGAAAATTCTGCATCCATTTATTCCTTTAATTAGATGGTTTCAAATTCCTTCGGTTGATTTTTGGAGGAAAGTAAGACCTTTTGAACAAATTCTGCAAAAAGAACTTTATTTCAATATAGTTGGTCATCATCTTGATCCCGCCTTTCGACATAATTCCAAAATTCTCCCACCAAGATCTCAAATTTTTGACTCTATTATAATTGATCAAAAACATTTTAAGATAATTGTGAATTGGATTGCCGAAAAGAATATTGGACCCCGATATGAAAAAGATAATAAAGATAATAAACCCTCTTACAGTTTTCATTGTTTATTACGTGCAAGTAGAGATGGATTTGATGCCAATACATTTCATAAATTATGCGATGATCAAGGTCCAACCATTGTGGTCAGTAAAATTAAAGAAACTGGACAAATTATTGGAGGTTATAATCCTTTAAATTGGCAAGAAGGAGCATATAATTATGATACTTGGTTAGAAACAAAGCAAAGTTTTTTATTTAGTTTTGAGAATAAAATGAACTTGGATTCTGCAATTATAGCAAGAGTTACAGATCCTGAATATGCGATAGGTTATAGTCCTCAACGTGGACCAAGTTTTGGTGATGGATGGGATTTGACTATTGAGACAGATTGTTCTCTTTATAGTCATAGCAACAATTCTTATAATGATATAACAAAATTTATTCCTAACACTACTCGATTAAATTTAGAAGATTATGAAGTATTTCAACTAATTCATCGAAATTGAAATTCTACAAACTTTTGTTTCTTTCTTAAATTTTTCAAATAATATATGTTATAAATGTTATAGTTTATTATCAAATGTAACAATTTCATTCATTATTGAATGTAAAGATAAGGACAATTTATTTAAGAATTTATATGCATTTTAGAAATCAATATAAGTTAATTAAGGATTCATTTTTGTCTTTTACAATTTATTTATATTATTTTATATTATTTTAGATAATTTGTTTTAATAACAAATCTTTCGTTCCGTCTTAATTTTATTTTAAAAAATAATATATTTATGCATAAGGTTGAATGGATTTCGCTCACAAAAAAAAAAAAAAAAAAAGCTTTTATAATTAAATACTTAACATTTCATTTACATGGTGAAATTTACAATATTCTAATAGAACTAGAAATGTTGGTAATTTTTATGTTGTTTTATATTTATTCAAACATTTTACTATAAGCTTTTCTCTCGGCTTGCTCTCTACTTTTAAGTTTTTGATTAGCTTTTGATAGTTCTTTAGAAATAGCAGAATCATTCGGACTTAATTTACGAGCTTCTTTTAAATCTTTTATGGCTTCTTCCTCATCTTTTAATCCAATTTTAGCACATCCACGTCTATATAATGCTTTGGTTTTATCAGCTACTGACAAAATTTCCGAAGGAGTATCCAATACTAAATTTGTGGCTTCAACTACATCTATCCACTTTTCCAATTTTAATGAGCAAGCTGCTTCATTAAGATTACAAGAAATCTTCAACAAATAGTATTCTTTACTTAGTGTATTAGATTCTTCATTTTCGAAAGAAGGATCCTCATTTAAATATCGAATAGCCTTAATTTAATCAGAATAAAATTTTTCTGAATTAAATAAATTATGTATGTGTATACGATATTTCCCATTGGAAACATGTGAAAAACATGTTTGTAATCGATATTAACCAATGCGACGTATCGTAGACGCGATAAAAGACAAAAACATCATTATATGTGATAATAAAAATGAAATCGGTACCTTTGCGTATTTTTTGAAGGCTTTGTCGTATTCCGAGCTTTTGAAATAATTATTTCCGATTTCCTTTATTTTTCGAGCAATTTCAAGCAATTCTTTTGATTCCAATTTTCTTGGTTGATCCTCTATAAAAAGAATTTATAATCGTTATTTATATTTATATTTATTTATTTTTTATTTAATAATATCTTCTATATCTTCTTTATTTATCTTATTTATCATATTTGTAGTATTACCAGGCCAATCCTCGTAAATATCACCGTCTGCGGGTTCTACAATACCGTCATCTTCTCCTTCCTTCAATTCTCCACAGTCAACAATTTTAACAGTCTTTATAGGCCTTTCATTAGCAGTCGGAATATTTTCAATAGACCGAACTAAAGATTTTCCATTTATTACTTTACCGAAAACTACGTGTTTATCATCCAAATGATTGGTCTAAATAATAATAATAATAATAATAATAATAATAATAATAATAATATATATATATATATATTAATAAATTTTAATATTAAATCACACAAAAAAAATAAAGACATAAATATAATAAATATAATAAATATAGCAATGAAGGCTTTCTTACATTGGTTGTTGTGATGAAAAATTGAGAACCATTTGTATTAGGACCAGCATTTGCCATAGATAAGAGGAACGGTTGGTCATGTTTCAATTCAAAATTTTCATCTGAAACCCAAACATAAAAATCAGTTAAAATATAAAAATGGATATTTTCCCAATAAATAACAGAAATAAATTTTTTACCTTCGAATTTTTCCCCGTAAATACTTTCACCACCAGTACCATCACCTTTAGTAAAATCTCCACCTTGACACATAAAATTCTACTTAACATAATAATTCATTAAGTATTAAAAAAAAAATGATTTAATTCTCAACAAACAGGTGACACAAAGGTAAAAATTGGCCGTACCTTTATTACACGATGAAATATGGATCCTTTATAATGAAGTGGCACGCCCGATGAAGTAGTGCCCTTTTCACCTGCAAATTAATTAAGATAATTAAATATATAAAATTTAAATATATTTAATCAAATAATATTGGTTAAATTATATAATAACAATAAATTATATACGTCTTACCTGTACAAAGCGCACGAAAATTTTCCGCAGTTTTAGGTACAACATTATTGAACTACTCATAATATTAATTCAACATTGATTCAATATTAACTTAATATTTAAATTCAACGAAGCGAATAATGAAATAAATAACTTCTCACCAATTCAAAGACAATTCGACCTTCACGTTGGTCATCAATATCGATATCAAAATAAGTTCGAATAGGCATTTTTTCAAGTAATAAATTTTAGTTCTATAGAATTTCGTCGAATTTCGTAAACTAATATATAATTAATGTAAATTTAAAGAAAGTACCAGAAATATCAAGATAATCTTAAGGTGTTACGTAATGATATTTGTCCTTCGAGAAAAAGATGCGAGTCACGTGAATACACATAATGAGATGGTACAGTTTTTTTTTCTGTAAAAAAAATATTGTAAATTGTTCTCTTTATTTTTGTTACACAAAAGATTGAAATGTTCAAACATATTTCACATCGGAAAATTGATAAATAATAAATAAATAATAAAATAATTAATAATTAATAAAAATATAAAATAAAAAACTCTATGAAATTATGAAATTATTGAAATTATTATTCTTTTGATATTGAATCACTTGGACTAATAATTCCTGATTCAGAACCAACAGCAGCCAAACAACAATTTCCCACAACATCATCATGTTCAAAACTATTCTCAACACCAATTCTAATTTTATATGATTGATGAGAACTGGTCCAACCAAAATCTTCTACCTTATTACATTCCCAGGTACATCCTTGTACAGTGGTTGTCATGTATCTACCAATTTCTTCATTAAATCTGTCCAAGATTGCGTAACCCAACATAGCGAAACTTTCAAGATTCTTAAATAATTGTTGTTTTAAAGTATTATTAACACTTGGCATTATATTGAAATCTGTTATACGATCATTATGATGAAATGTTATATCGAATCTAATTATGAATTGTCGTTTGAAAAAGAAATCTCTTTTAAATTGTGAAGAAATTGTAAGTAAAGCGTCAGTTAGTACTTTTGTGAATGAATCAATTTCTGATGCAATCATTTTGTGACGTAACGAAAGTTGATTTGGCGATAAAGTGGTGGCTGAATATTGAGACGGTGGATAAGTTGGAATTTTAAAATATTCTAATTCATCTTCTAGCTCAGATCCAGTTATGGGAATTAATCCAATTGCTGTTAAATTCATTAAATAAAAAAAAAGATAAAGATTAGAAGAATTTAAAGAAGTAAAAAATGATGAATGCAGTTATTATAATTAAGAATTCATAAATAAATAAATAAATAAATACCTTGATCCAAAGTAGGAACTTTACCGGTACGATAGAACTGCATGATATAATGAAATAAATGACCATCACGATCAATAAAGAATTCATTTTCATGAGCTGGATCCAAGAAAGGATTTTCATCATCATTATAACAAAATATTGATCCAAGCAATGTTGTTGGATAAGATGTTAATGTTGATCTATATGTTTCATACTATAATAAAAGATATATTATAAATTATTTTAAATAATTATAAATGATTATAAATGATTATAAATTATTATAAATTATTATAAATAATTATAAATGATTATAAATGATTATAAATTTATAAATTATTATAAATGATTATAAATTATTGTAAAGAATAATATCAAAAATTATTCACAGAGCATTAGAAGAAATTTACCTTTATACCACCAACATTTAATACTATTTTTTCTCTTGCGGCATAATTATCTACGAAAATACTATTATCATCACTTTCAAGTTGATTAAAATTGCTTGATGTATTATTATTTGCATTCTCTACACATTTATCTCCATTATTATTATTGTTATTATTATTATAGTTGCATTCATTACTATTAGTAAAACTTGAAGCAAGATTTGTCATTGAACCAGTGGGAATATTAAAATTTGAGATGAAATTTTTTATCATGTTTTTTTTTTTTGTTATAACAAATTTTTAATTTGATGTGGAAATATGTAAAATATGTAAAATATGTTGTTAAAGAGATATTGGGCAGGTTTTATACATATCCTTTAATCCAAAATTGGAAATCCTCAATTGGAAAGTTGACAGCTCGCCTGAGAGTCCGGTCAGGCCCAGAAGCCCGATCTGCTTTTTTAGTATTTAATTAATTATCTTTTTTGTAAAAAAAAAAATCTATGCATGCTTTATCTGGTTCTATTCTTATAATAATAAAAATAAATATATGATAAAAATAAAATAAAATTTTGTGTAATTATTAGTCATGAAATTGTTATCACATGATATGAGAATTTGTATAAAAGCTTCAAAAAGATTATAAATTTTATTCTATTGCTCCGTTTGACATTTTTTTTGAACTTAATTTTTTAAAGCTTGATAGAAAATTTAAACAATAGTTTTATTTTTATTTATAATCATGCCGGGACCAGGTCAAGACTTTTTTCACCCCAATATCAATAAGACCTGTACTTTTGATTTTGAAGAATATATTAAAACTGAGTTAGGTTTGGGAGCCACAAATGAGTCAGGTAAACTCGAACAAAGTTCAAATTGTGACGTCACATTATTTTATCCCGCTTACTTTTCACACTTTATAATTTTTTTTTTTTCAAAATTTTAAATTCAATAAAAAAAATAAATCTCTTATGTATTTTTTTAGACATAATTTGTCAAGATTTTTTAAAGGGAACATGTACGAAAGGTGCAAAATGTGATTTCAAACATACCACTAATTTTAGGGAAAAGGCGGTAGTTTGTAAACATTGGTTACGTGGACTTTGTAAGAAAGGAGATCAATGTGAATTCTTACATGAATTTAATATGAGGAAAATGCCCGAATGTTGGTTTTATTCGAGATACGGAGAATGTAGTAATGAAGATTGTATGTATTTACATATTGATCCTGAAAGCAAAGTAAAAGAATGTGCTTGGTATGCGAGAGGATTTTGTAAACATGGTAAATAATAAAATATTTAAAATATTTAAAATATTTAAAATATTATTAAAATTTTTATTTGTCACAATTTATTTATCATAAGGACCTCATTGTAGACACAAGCACGTTAGGAAAGTTGTTTGTCAGCTGTATTTAAGTGGATTTTGTCCCAAAGGATCAGATTGTCCAAATGGACAGTAAGTAATTTTTCATTTTTATCAGTAATTAATTAATTAATTTTATAAAAATTCGTTATTATTGTATTAATTGTATTAATTTTTTAATTTTATTAATTATTCAAGTCCAAAATATGAATTACCCAATGCTCAACGTGATCATGAAGGTCAAGATGAAGAAATGCATCATAGAATTCATGGAGGAGAAAATGAGGAGGTAAGAATAAATAAGATAAAATATAAAAATAATTATGCATTAAAAATTTAATTAAATTTCAATTTTTAATTTTAGGGTCAACAACGTACAGGGGGAAATTATCATAATTATCGTTCACTATCGGAAGTTACATGTTTTAAGGTAAATGTCTTGTCTTTTTTTTTTTATGAATCTTATTTATTAGGGGAACTCTGTTAATGGATACTAAAAAAAAAGGTATTTTATACATTTTAAATAGTGTGGTGAAAAGGGACATTTTGCTAATCGTTGTCCTAGTAATCAAGGAAAACGATACTAAAAAGAATAAAATAAACTGATTATTATTTTTGGTTTCAACCATTCTTTTTCTCGAATTTGGTTAAGATGGTTGATTGTGTATATATATATATTTTATTATACTACTAAAATTCTTGATCTTATTAGATAGTTTGATGAATGTTATTTAATATTATTTAATATTACTATAGAAAATTTATTTAGAGATAGTTTGGCATAATTTATTCACTGAATTTATTAATTTCGGCAAAAAAGATCGTCGAAAATTTTCATGAATGGTATGCATGACTTTTAATTTTTACTTAGCTCACGTGAATTTGATATTTTTACTAAATAATTTCTTATTTCTGCTTATCTCTAGTTTGATATACATATAACTTATCTTAAAATCAAATGGAATATGAAGTATTTTTAGAATTACTGTAAATAAAATTATAAAATTATAAAATTGGATTAGTAGAGATTTAAATATTAGATTTAATAAATTAATATATAATTTTAAAGTATATAATCTACAATTTATAATTTATAATTTGAATAATTTTTTTTATCTGTTATGTACACAGGATTTTCAGAAAATAACATTAAATGAATTATTTGATGTTTCTTGGACGTTATAATAAAAATAAATCTTTATTTTTGGATAATCATACATCAACATGCAAGCAAAACCTCTGTATAAATAAATCATTATTATATAATCTAAAAGTACATAGTAGTTTTATTAAAATACTGTATCTAATATTACCAAATTTGTCAAATAGAGAAATACGTGTCTTCTATAAACGCATCCGATATAAATGCACCCTTTATGAATTGAACGTATCCTCAATGATTGCACATTCCCTATGAACGCATCGCGTCGCATTACATTGCATCAACAATTTGAAATTTTCTAATATTTCGTGTAAAAATGGTTTACTGACTACTAATGACGTACTAAATATAGGAGAAAAGATATATTAATTATTTTACTATGTTGAAATGTAAAGGATTAAACGGAGAAGAATGACTTTAAATTTTTTTTTTATTTAACTTGGTTTATGACTTACTATAATTTGTATTATTCACTTGAAGTTATATATTTACATATATTTCATTCATATTTCTTTTATAATTAAAAATATAATGCAAGTCTTTAGTTTTGTTTGATAAAATCTCGCTTACTAAAACTATTTTTAATATCATTATTAATGCGAATATGCAAATAAAGAAAACGTTTTTTCCTTCTTTGCACTTTATTATCAATTTATCATTTAATTGGTTTAACCTCAAGTCTGCCAGCTAAACCCAGAAGTTAACAAAATTTAACTGTCAATTAATCAAATTTTAGGCCTTTCGTTTTGAATTGTAACGCTCGGATCCTCCATATTATATCAAAAATTTATAAGTAATACATTTAATTAAAATTATAACGATGCTTTTGAAATCAATAAAGATGATGATGATAACAGAGATAGTGTAAACGTTTTATATACAAAATTTCTTCATCAAATATATCAATGCGTCATGAATTCATATTTAGGAGAATAATATATGACAAAATTGAATCAGTATTATTCTGTAAAAAAATAAATTTGAAGTATATTTGGCACAATTTTGTTTTGATGTAATTTTTGTTTTGTTCTGCTCATAATGTTCAAAATTTTGCCTTTGTCATCTGTTCGTTGAAATATTTTCTGCTCATAATTGTTTCAAATAGAATTTGTAGTTCAAAAAAATATAAATAAATATTTCACATTTCAAACTTTTAAATTCTGTTCTTTATTACCAAGTATGAACAAGTCACCTCTAAAATACAAGAACAATTTGGAATTCCTCAGAAGGATTTTGATTTTATCAATTTCACAAAATGAAAAAAAAAAGTGGGTTTTGGAGGCACCTTACAATGTTTGAGATGAAGGAATGTACTTAAAGCTATTCCTATGACACTTGGAATTAGGGGTGAAAACCAATTGCCTAAATTGAAGAAGGAATAATTGAATTAGATCCAGGAGTTAGGACATTTTCGACTGGCTATTCTCCTTCAGGACTGGCAGTTGAATGGGGGAAAGAATAATATTGTAAGAATTTATCGTCTTTGTAATGCCCTTGACAAGTTACAAAGTAAATGATCACAAAAGGAAACTCAACAGAGAAAATGATACACGATGAAAAAAAAGCAGCAAGAAGAATTCAAAAAAAAAAAAAAAATTTTTTTTTTTTTTTGAAATGTTGAAGTACACAAGAAATTCACCAAGTGAAATACTACACTGTATTACTTCCTGAATTCAAGAAACAAACAATGGTGAAACAAATAAACAGACCAATGCTTTGATGTCTCATTATGTAAAGTTGTAATCTGTGATAAGCAAAATGCCGAGTAAATTGTATCAAAAATTGGCAAAACTTTCAAATGTCCTCAGTGTCAAATAGAAATGGATAGAGACATTAATACAGTAAGAAATATCTTTCTTCGATACTTAACTCTCAATATGAGCCAAATTGAAAAGTTTGGCGTTGGGCTCACCCCTATATATGATAATTACAATAAGGGTGATCAATTTTGATCCCTTTGGACAAGTTTAATTGAGAGAGAATATAGTTTTATTTTTTGTTTGATTTTCTTTATTGCAAATCGATGTTGGATAAAAAAGATTTTTGTAAATGAAGATTCATAAATGGAAAGAATAATTGCCGAAATTAAAGTTGCCAAGATTGACAATATATTAAATTAAACATTGATTATATTTGGTATTAATAGATAACGAGTATATATCAATAGATACCGATTTGAATTAAATGCATAAAAAATATTTTAATATGTTCTCATAGAAATTTATTAAAGGAACGAGTCAAATTTCAATTTCCAAGAGATAAATAATAATTATTTTATGCAATTAGGCGACAAAATTTTTTTTTTAATATATACAAAAATAAAGTCTTGGTATAATGATAGGGGAATGAAACTCGTCACGAGAGAATATACAAAAGAGAAAAGATAAAATTTTAAATAAGGGTGATAGAAGATATGTACGCACAGGGTTTATTTACTAATATTCAGTTGATTCTTTGTTATTGATTATGTTACAAAGGAATTGCTTCCTTATGCGTAGCCAAGACCTCGATTACCTCATTATAATTTATTCGTTTTATTCAATAAAATAGGGTTTCCTCGTATTTATTTTATTTAGCAAACTTACGACTTTGGCGAAGATGAAACGCATAAGTATGCATGAAAATACCGTTTTGCGCCATTCTAAAAATTAATCTTTTTATAGATAATTTTGGTAAAAGGATAAGAAATTGATTTTAGGGAATTTAGGGAAGAAATAAATTTTGAACAATTCGAGTTAAAGGTATCAATTTTTGGTAATGATATACAAAGTACGTAATTTGTAACGTTGTAACGTAGACAATACGCCATAAAATTTAATATACTGTTTAAATTTTAATGTTAAATTTCTTTAATTAATTAATCTATAATAAAAAAAATTTTAAAATACAATATAAATACATATATATATGATGGTTAGATTACACTTTTTTACAGAGTGGAATTTAATATAACAAACGAGAATCTAAAAAAATACCAAAATTAATATTTAACCATTTCATCGTTTAAAGAACGATTTGTACAAATTGTAAATATTTGTTCGGAAAATAGAATAATGTCGAATAAAAAAGATATATCGAAAGAACGAATTATTTTGAACGTGGGTGGAATTAAAGTAAGATTTTTTGATTATTTAATTATTTATATTTTGTTATATCAGAAAAAAAAATATTTATTTTATTATTCATCTTTTTTCTAAAATATTAGTACGAAACGTATCGATCGACACTAACCGAATACCCAGACACAATGTTAGGTACAATGTTTAGTGAGAGAAATACGAAATTATTACATCCGGTAAATGGAAATGAATATTACATTAATCGAAATGGAAGATTATTTTATTATATATTACAATTTTATCGTACGCGAAAAATACCTTGTATTGATAAAGGTATTTATGATTTATTATTTCTTTTTTAATCAATCAAAATAAAATTTTAGAAAATATAATATTCATTATTATTTCCTTTTCTCATTGTTTTTCTCATTGTTTTTTAAATAGTAAAAACAACAATACCAATAACACAAAAACAATTAAATGCCGAACTTGATTTTTTTATGATTCCTCGTCCTAAACAAATTTCTACTCAAAAACCTCAATGTGTTCAAAAACTTTCGCTTAGAAGTAGAACCATTGCTACAGAACTTGACAAATTCATTCATGCTCTTAAAACGGCTTTGAATACAGTAATTAATTACTTTCAAAAGCGGTTCATAATGTCAGAAGGAGGACAAGGATTTAATATAACCTTGGAAATATCATTCTACGCGTCAGATAAAATACCTCATTTAATCACGGTTTTACCCACCATAATTGGAAAATCACCAGTACCACTTATAACTCCTATATTTGAAGAACATTCTTTCGGTACTAAGGCATATGTGTTGTTAAATAAATTTGGTGATAAAATTGGAGATTATTTAGAAGCTTTATATCCAGGATTATATTGGGATCTTCAATGGTTAGAACATTGTAGCGATGGAACACAATTAGTAGATGGTATGTTCAGAGTGAAAATGTCATTATGTGATAAATTTGATTATGAAGATATAATTCACAATTGTTGTTTAAGTACTACTACTCTAAAGTATTATAAGTATTGAGAAGAATTTGGTTAGAATTTATTTAGATTTTTACTTCTTTAGATAAAAAAAAAAAAAAAAAATTATTTAAAAATTTATTTAAATTAAATGAACAAATTTTCATTAAAATTCATTTAAAGAGCATTAATTTATTTGCAATATATATTTATATTTAATTGGCTAAGATGGCATATAATACAATTCGGCATTTCGAAAAATTTAAGTCATTTCTTTATTCTTTCGTTCTGGTCAATGAAAGAAAAATTATAAATTCACACTCTCAAGTTATTCACATTTATACACTTTGTACTTTTTGCACACACTTTTTGCACCCTTTTCAAACACTTTTCACATATTTCTCACACTCTCACAATTTCTCCACACTTTCTTCTAAGAAAAATAAGTAACCCATTTTTAATTAAGAATGTACATAGCAAAATATTTATCAAATAATTAAAATTTTAATTTTAAGAAATAACTTCATTTAACCAAGCAATACTCTAAGTAATTAAGTAAAAATATATATATATATATATATTAAGAATAAAATATGATACGCACAAAATATTCTAAGCTGTGCTGTGAAACAGACTTTATTTTTCAATAACAAATGCATAATGTAATTATTTATTTGATAACAAGAAACCTGTTTTTTGAGTTTTTTTATAATATTTTGGTATATTGATAATTAATAGTCTTTATGGAATCAAGTGAGTTATCTTCTCCCAAGGATTTTAAATATCAGGAATATCTTTCATAAATTTAATTTCAAATTATTATCTCAATTAGATTAGAATTAATTATAATACTAGAAAAAAAAAAGGAAAATTTTGTCCCGGAAGGTCACACAATTTGATGCAAAAAAAGATGAGACAACTTGTTTAAATGTAAATTATTTAAGATGCGGCTTTATCACTTTCAGTCTCAAAGATTTTTAAGAAACATGAGAGTTATTAGCACTGAGAAGGCACCTGCTGCTATTGGACCTTATTGTATGATACTTTATAGGATACATTTATAGAATACTTCATAGTAAAACTTTATTATATTAATTCATTTTCTGGATAAAAAAATAGCTCAAGCCATAGTTGCAAATGGTTTTATCTTTGTTTCGGGTCAAATTCCAGTTGTTCCAGCTGTTCCAGGCTCAATCATCAGTGATGATATCAAAGAACAAACGGTATGCAAATAAATTTAAAAGAAATTCTTCAACTTACATTATTCATGACTTGGGTCTTCTATATGTAAGATTAAATATCTATACATTCTATTATCCATTTTATAAAAAAAAAAAAAAAGCATCAAGTAATTCGCAATCTTTCAAACGTTTTACAAGCCGCAGATAGTTCTCTTTCAGAAGTTGTTAAGACTACAGTTTTTCTCAAAGATATGAATGATTTTATGGCCATGAATGAAGTTTATAAGGAAGTAGGGGAATTTTTTAAAATCTATTATCATAGTTGATATTCTCATATTTATAGATAATCATAGTGATATTCTTATAATTAATAATTTATTTTGATTTATTATTTATTAGTGTTTTGGAAACCATCAACCTGCAAGAGCGTGTGTTGAAGTGGCGAGATTGCCCAAAGACGTGAAAGTTGAAATTGAAGCAATTGCACAAATAAAATAATTTTCATCGTCAAATTGAATAAATAAATTGAATACAACTATCGAATTGATTTTTTATAAAAAGTGATTTCTTGTTTAATCTTTAAAAAAAAAAATTCCGAATAATAAAAGAATAATAAAGATCGTAAATTTGTTTGCAAAAAAACGATATTGAGAAGTGTGTAGCACAAATAATATTTATATTACTATGCATAGCAAAAATGTGAAATATTAGCCACATCACATTTGCTCTCCGTTTCATAAAATGGAGTTATTTAGCAGAGGATACAAAGGACTTCTTGGTGACAAAGGGCAACCTCAATCTGTTGAGGATACAGTCTCAAAGTTAGTTGATCGTGCCAGAAATTCTACGTTGTTAGAAGATAGACGAGCTGCAATATTAGGTTTAAAAGCATTTTCGCGGGAATATCGGCAAGTAAGTCTTTGTATTCCAAGGTCTTTTGCAATAAAATTATTGTATTCGTTACATAATTCATATTTAATTTATATAAATTTAATAATTTTTAATTTAATAGGAGGTTGGGGAAAAAGGTCTTGGAGCTTTTTTACATATTTTGAATCAAGACCGGGCAGATATTGATACAGCAAAAGCAGTTCTGGAAATTCTCAATATTCTATGTATACCTGATGGACAAGAGGTTCGTTTTCGTTCCTAATTTATTATATTTTGTAGTTAATTATTTATATATAATTTATTTAATAATTAGGATCCCGCAATTGATTTGGGTGTGAAATTCACGGATGAAATTGTTCATGTAAGTAATTTTGATTCATTTTATATTCATTCATTTTTATATTCATTCATTTTTATATTCATTTTATATTCATTTTATATTATTGATACTTAAAAAATTTTGTTCAAGGCTAAGATTAAAATTTATTATTTTTAGGATTCTGCTAATATAAATTTACTCTTGGGTCTTTTACAAGAGTACGATTTTTATGTCCGATTTCATGATGTACAATTATTGGGAACATTATTAAGAATTAGACCAGATCGTGTACAAGATTGTATATTGGCAGATCCAATGGGTATTTCGAGATTAATGGATTTATTAGATGATCGAAGAGAAATAATAAGAAATGGTATATTATTTAACGAGTTTTAAGGATTCCAATTCTTGTTTAAAGAATATTAAAGTCATTAATTCAAGATATTAAATGTAATAATTAATAAATATTTAATAATCCAATTTTTAGAGGGATTATTATTACTTATCTCACTTACTGAGAATAATGCAGATATTCAAAAAATTGTTGCTTTTGATAATGCATTTGAAAGATTATTAGAAATAATAACAGAAGAAGACGGATTGAATGGTGGAATTATTGTTCAAGATTGTATACAATTAATACTTAATTTATTAAGATATAATGTTTCTAATCAGGTTTGCAAGGATTCTTCAATTATTTTAATATTATATATAAATATTATATATATAGTAATTAATTAACTTGAATTTTTTTTTATCAATTTTTGATTAATTTGTTTTATTTAATTTGCTTAGAATTTTTTCCGAGAAACGAGTTGCATAAAGCGAATTCCTTCTCTTTTTAGTTATTCTCCAGATTATAAATATCGAGAATACGAGATTGAATATTTGATTCAAGATTGGCAAGAACAAAAAGTTGAAAATTCTATAGTTTTATTAGATTTGATACGAATATTAGTATTGCCCAATAATACGAATACTGTAACTAACCAGGTAAAAAATATATATATATATATATTAGATTAATTTATTCTTTAATTATTAATTTATTATTTATATTCTTTAATTATTATTTCTTTATTTATTATTATTTATTTATTTATTTATTTATTTATTTATTTATTTATTATTTTTATTAAAGAATGTAATGAAACAATGTGGAGTATTAAAACCTGTCGTTGAATTGGCTCTATCTTCTAATGCCCCTTCAATAGTAAAGGCAAGCGTATGTAACTTCCAATTTTTTAAATCTAAAAAAAAAACTGAGCCTTTTTAATTAGGCTTTTTTATTGATTTAATTAATAACCAATATTCAATAGTCCCTTTATGCTTTGGCAGATCTCATTCGCGGGAATAATAAAAATCAAGAATTTTTGGAAAGGACTGTAGTTACTGTACCATCTTATCCAATAGTAAATTCTCCTGATTCATCAAATTTAAATAATAAAGTCAATAGTAATGGTCGAACTTCATTCTCGGAACAAATCCCTCCACGTCCTTCAGTTATGGCATTAATCGCTGTAGCTGTTGGTGCTGAACATGTTGAGAGTTATACTACTCGGGCAGCTGCTACTTATGCTTTTGAGGTAAAATTTATAATAACTTTATATATATATATATTCTTTAGAATATAATTTAAATATTTTAATAGACTTACAAAATCTTTAAAATGTTTTACGTGATATCGTAAAAAGTCTTACATCTACAATAACGCCAACGCACAAATTGTATTAGCATCCACATTGACACCACCACCCGATGATAATTTAAATCCGGACTTGATCACATGTATGATATATTAATTATGATATATTATGATAATTTCAAAGATTTAATATGAATTAATTTATATAGCGAAGCCCCAATCAGCCGGATCATTGCTACTTTCAGCTCTCTTGGAATGGGAAGATTCTGAGGCAGATCCATATGTAGTTTGGTTTGCTTCGGTTATTTTCTCTCACATCCTCATGAATAATGAAAAATCCAAAGAGCTAGCTCGTGCAATAGTTATTGGTGGAGAGAATAACGGAGAAGAACATGTCTCTCTATTACATTCAATTGCTGGAAATTTGATGTTAGCAACTAGACAGAATGCTGATGTTAGAGTTCTGATTGGATATTTATGTGTCTTATGTGTTTGGTTGTGGGATAGTCCTCAAAGTGTTAATGAATTTTTATCGGAGGATGCACATCTACAAATTGTATACTTTCTAAATTAATTAATTTTTACTTTATATTTTAAATTTATATTTTTTTTTATTTATAATTTTTTTATTTATATTTTTTATATTTTTTAATTTATATTTTTTATTTATATTTTTAATTTATATTTTTTATCTTATTTTCTTATAGCTTATTTCTCCAATAACTCAATCATCAGGAATAGATTCAAGAGTGCAAGGTTTATGTGCATTTTTATTGGGAATTTGTTATGAATTTAATCATTCAATAAATTCAAGGTAATATTTAATTATATGATTAAATATAATTTACTCAATCTCATAAATATATTATTTATTATTTTTATTAGGTCAACGCTTCAACCAATTTTGCTTAATCGTATTGGAATTGATCAATTTGTTAATCGTATTACACGTTTAAGAGAATTACCTCATTTTATGCATGTTTCACAATATCTTCAGGTATTTAAATTTAATATAAAACTTTATCTAATATAAAATTTTCGAAAAATTATATTGTAATGATAGATTTTTGATAGATTTTACCAGAAGAAGAAGCTAGAGGACTTCCTGAATTATATTTTGATTATTCATTTGTTAATTTTTTCAAGAACAATTACGGTAGTTACCATTTTTTTTTTTTTATCAAATTTGATAGAGTAAAATTCATTCCAAACATTTATTAAATTAATTCAAATTTATTTATTTATATATTAGAAAAAGTTCAAAGATCTATTATAGCCGATCCAAATACACCAAAATTTACTGTAAAAAGTGAGTTCATTTTCATATGATGTTTAGAATATATATATGTTTATATATATGTTTATATTTTTAATGAGTCATCTCTTTATTAACTTTTTTTAATAATAATAATATATTACATTTATAAATAAATAGATGAAATAAAAGATGATTATGAATCATCAGTAATTATAACTTATAAAAGTTTAATTCAAGGTCAAGAGAAGGAAATATGTGAGTTGAAAGAAACAATAGGAAGTTTACAGGAACAGGTATGATCTGAATCTTTAATGTTATTTTCGTCATTCTTTCATGTACTTTCTTTTTTTATATTTATTTTTATATTTATTTTTTATATTTATTTTATAGAAATTATCATCAGAACTATTGATAAATTCTTTACAAAAGGAAGTGGAAAATTTACAAAACATGTTAAAATCTCAGGAATTAGAAACTTTTAAATTAAAGAAATACCAAGAAGATTTGCTTGTATGTCTTGATGATCAAGATGCAAATGTTAAAAAGTATAGAGTAAGATTGATTTCATTGGGTCAAGAGGTTACTGATATAGAAGATGAAGATGAAGATGATGAAGATGATGATGATGATGATGAATGAATGAATGAATGAATGAATGAATGAATGAAATTTAATATATACAAAGTAATAGATTTTATTTATAGTTGAGTAGATTACAATAGAAATTTTGGGTTTTATATATTTAATTTTTTTATATTTAAAAAAAAACGTGCAAATTTTCCTTTTTTTTTTATTTTAAGGAAAGATTTACTCGTATCAAATAAAGATTTTTTAATAATTTGATACAGCCAAAAATTTTAATGGAATTTTACCAAGATTTTCTAACCTGTTAAAAAGATTCTTTAAAACAAAAAATATTGTAAGTTTTAAAAAAATTATTCTATCTTATATTGAAAACTTACTATTTTTTGCACACATTTCTTAAAATCATCAAATTCTTTTACACACAAATCTTTGTTAATATGTTCAAGTTGACTCGTTATACATTTTGCATAAACGGTTGCCTACCCATTTGATATAAATATAAAATTATATTTATATATAGATTTCTTTTATATATTAATCCTGATTATTTAATCATATTTGTAATTGATCATTTCATTGTTGACTAAAAGGAAAAATATAATAATAATAAATTATGATCGAAAATAAAATAATAATATAAATTATACTTGTACTGAACATTCGGCCACTCCTTTCGCAAGAAATTTTACAGTTCGCTTATCGTTTGTTCTGGTTAACATTTTTTATTTACTGATTTTTTTTTTTTGATTATTTAATAATAAATGAGATTTGTTTGTATCACAATTAACGTATTCGTATTTTTGAGGGATTACAATTAAAAATTATTAAATTATTCAATTTGTTTATAATTTTCAAATTCATTACGCATTAAATCAATATAAGTGTTATTCTCAATCTCATTTTGGAAATCTGTATCCAAACTTATTGGATTAGAATGTTTCTTTAGATAGTCTAAAGTATTCTTGGCTACTAATAAAACTGATGATGGCATTCCTATAAAATTAAATTAACAATAAAATTATATAATAAAATTATATAACATAATAAAATTATAATAAAAATCTTTTAAAATACGTACCAGCAAGTTGGGCAGCTTTTAATGCTGCAGAATTCCGATTTACACCACCTTTCAATTGATGAAGATAATAAAAGCTTCCATCCTGAAAGTTGAATATAGAGATTATATAAGTTATATAATAATAATAATAATAATAATAATAATAATAATAATAATAATAATAATAATAAATTATTAACCATATTCTCTTGAATATCAGTACAATAACAAACTGCATTTTCAAAATTCTTAATTAAAGTTGGTATTTCATGAAAATGAGTTGCAAATAAAGTTCTACAACGATTAACGTAATGCAATCGAAATAATGTTGCAAATGAAATGGCAATTCCATCTAAAGTTGTTGTGCCTCGACCAATTTCATCCATAATAACAAATGATCTTTGAGTTGCATTCTTTAAAATATATGCAGTTTCAATCATCTCTACCATGAAGGTAGATTGATTTTTATATAAATTATCAGATCCTCCAACCTGGAAATAATATTAATATAATAAAGGTAAAATAAAAATATATAATATATAATATAATATATAATATATAATATATAATACATCTAACATATAATATAAATATTTACTCGACTCAAAATTTGATCGACTATACCAATTTCTGCGTAATCGGCTGGCACAAACGATCCTATTTGTGCAAGAATAGAAATAACTGCATTCTGACGAAGGTATGTACTCTTTCCTCCCATATTTGGTCTATGTGATCATTATTTATTTATTTAATTTATTTAATTCAATTCAATTCAATTTATTATTATCATATTATAAATGTTTTTAATTACCCTGTAATCAATAAAAGTCGTTCTTTATCTCCAACGAAACAATCATTCTTAACAAATTGGTGTCCCTTTTTTTGAAGTGATGATTCAACTATTGGATGCCGACCTCCTATAATTTTATGTGAATAACTAATGTTCCCCCCCCCCCCACAAAAAATAATAATTTATAATAATTATTAATATTTGTACAAATATCTTAAAATATTAATCCGAATTAACTTATTAATTACTTATAATCAAGAATTGGTCGAATCATCTTCTGTTCTTGAGCTAATACTGCTAATGATGTAGCAATATCTAACTCATCGATTACATTGGAATTACCAATTGTTACATGCCATTCTTCTTCGATCTAAAGATTGTTAAAGATTTTAAATGAAAAAAATTAAAAAATTAAAATTAAATTAATTAATTAAATTAAATTAAATTAAGAAATTACCTTGCGTCGTATTATTTGAAATACATTATTTTCTTCTTCTCGTATTTTTGTCTTAATATTTTCAATTTCACCTCCTAACTCTGACCATTGCTTATTTAAATAATAATAATAATAATACATCAATATAAATTTTCAAAAACTTTATTTATCCATTTTAAAGAATCTTTAAGTCCTTTTACCTTAATAATATATAATTTCTTATTTCCAATCGTGGTTATAGGAATCGCCTTCAGAAGACCCTCAACATTAACATTACGACTTTTTCGAATAATTACAATGAATCCATAACTTGAATGAGATCGAAGTTCTAATGATGGTCCATCTGAAATTGATTTCCTCAAAGAATTTAGAAATTATAGAAAATTATAATTATCAAAAAAAACAGTAATATTTATTTACTTAATATATATTGCCAAGAAATTTGAAGATTAATCATATCTCGATATTTATCTTCAAGTTGTTTGTAAAGTTTTATAAGTTGTGGTGAAAAACTAATCATTTAATTAATAATTTCAAAATATCAAAAATAAAGTTAAAATAAATAGATTTCACGTAAATATTTATTGTATTTATATTAAATCTTACTCTTTATTAATGACCCAATTATCACTTTTTATCAACATCTGTAATTCCGCTTCTTTATCTTTAACAGTCGGTTCGGCTTTCTTATATTTGTGAAATTGCCTCGTCTTCCTATCTATAATTTCAAGTCTTTTTTCAATAGGTAAAAGATATCCCTCAAAATTATGAAAACGGATTCTTTAAAATATTTTAATATATATCAAATATATTAATATATCTCAAATATATTAATATTTTTCATACTACCATAAATTATTGTTTCTTTCTTAAAATCATTTTTTATCGGATTCAATAATTTTTCTCCATCTTCAATAACTTCATCAGATAATTGTTTCTCTTTAGCTCTGTTTAAAGATTCTTCGTCAACAGCTTTTGTAATTGAGTTTATAAGATCTTGTTGGGGTTTAAAACGAGTCAAGATTGACTCCAGACTATCATTAGGAGTAATATTAAGTTCCACACGTATCCTATTCTTTATTAATAACATCTTCTCCAAGGTACGCTTTAATTTCAAAAAATCGTCAGGACTGTATTGATCAAATGTAACTTTTTGTGACGTTCTTTGAGCATCATCACATTCACTCAATAACTCACGAATATCATTAGTGAGATGTGAGTTGTTATAAAAATATTCGACGAGATTTAGACGATAATTAATTACATTAATCGACGTACTAGGGAAACCTAATAAAATTAATTAATTGATGTTGAATTGATTATCATTTTAGAATAATAAAATAATAATAATAGAACTCTATGAAAGTATCGTGCTGCATACTGACGCAACCAGTTATCCAATGTACGCGTTCCTGAAGCTGTCTTTGTACGCTGTATTGCATGCATCAAGCTTCCTTTTTTTGTAAAGTCTTGCATCGATGTTGTAATTTCCAAAGAACGTAAAGCTGTTGCATCAATAATCATCGTATCCTTGGAGTGTATCCTAATTGGAAATTGAATCTTTGGGAAACGACCAATCAAATTTTTTTTAATATAATTTAATAAACCTCCACTAGCCTTCAATTCTATCAATGAAAAGGTCTTTTGGATATCTCTTTCTGTTTCTTGTTTTGGTATCAAAGTATGGATTCGACTAGCATCAAAAGAATTTAATGACTCGAAAGTTACATTATTCATTCCACGATCAACATGTTGCCAAATGTGATGATCTTTTAAATCTCGTAATGTATCGCTTATTAAAATCTCACTAGGTATTATACGTGATATATCATTAGAAAGAGATTCCAAATTAGATTTTTGCATATAAAATTGTCCAGTAGTAATATCAATCCACGATAATCCAGTTTCCTTATGATTTTCTCCTAGTGATATTGAAAGCAAGAAATTATTTTGGTCTTGTTGTAAAAAACTCTCATCAATTAAAGTTCCAGGGGTGATAATACGGTTTACACGACGTTTGAATTTAACTTTTTCTTCATTTTGGTTATTATTTGGAAATTCATCACATAAAGCAACTGCTCGACCATGTTCATTAATTAATTTGGCTAAATGTCTATCTAAATGAAGTATCGGAAATCCTGCAAATGGAAAATATTCATGACCAAATTTTCTCCTTGTTAACTTTATATCTAAAAGGGGCGCGATTTCGGTCGCTTGTTCGAAATATATCTTTGATACATAAATTTTTAAATAAACAAAAAATTTTGTATAAACATCAATCAATTTATCAAATTTAATTATTTAATTTATTAATTTATTTATTTTATTCATTCATGGAATGCCTTTGACAACTTACCTCCCAAAATTGTCCAACACGTGTGAGAACTACACAATGGTGATAAGTTGCTTGTGTTTCTCTGACAATTCTACCAAGTGTACTCTCCCATTCCGGCCCTCTTTTGAGATTATCAAAAGAAGAAGGATTCTTAGCAACTTTTGGTAATTTGTCCAAGGATAAAGAGAGGTTTGATTTCGAACGCGATATTATTAAAGGCGAATGTCGCTTTAAAAAGAGTTGTGAACCTATTTTGGTTGAATTTATGGAAATTTTTTGACAAGCTAAAGTAATTTTTGTTCTAGTCTCAATAAAGCGTGTGTACTTAATCTTCTCGTACTGACACGCTCGTAAGCTACCATTTTTATTGGAATTGCTAGAAATTCCAAACAATTTGCTAGATTTTTTATTAATCGTTAATAAAAGATTCATTATAACAAATATTTCTTACGCGAATTCGTACGATAGAATTGATCGACACGTTTTTAAATGTTTTAATGTTTTAACACAAATACGCGATACGCGACAGATGAATATGTTTTAATAGAATTTCTATTTAAAGAATTAATGTTACACAAATTTTTACGAAATTCAGTTCGAAAAAAAAAAACCTCTCTAATGGCTGTCCAAGCTTTTGAAAGTTCTCATGATGATTTAATTCATGATGTATCTTATGATTTTTATGGAAAACGTATGGCAACTTGTTCTTCAGATCAAAGAGTTAAAGTATGGGAATATAGTCAAGAGAACAGTTGCTGGGAACCAGTTGATACCTGGAAGGTTTGGTTTTTCTAAATTAAAGGACAAAAATAATTTAATTTTATTCGTGAAACTGAATTTTTTCATTTTTACAGGCACACGAAGGGTCTGTTTTGAAAGTTTCTTGGGCTCATCCCGAATTTGGACAAGTAATAGCAACTTGTTCTTTTGATCGCACTGTGCGTATTTGGGAAGAACAAGAACATGGTAAAATCTAATTGAATTAATGATTTGGAATTAATAAAGAATTTTATTACTGAAAATCTTTTTGTAGTAAAATTTTATTGATTTTGGAAAATTTATGAAATTTATAGAATCTAGAAATAGTGGTAAGCGATGGACAGAAAAGGCAGTCTTAAGAGAAAGCACCGGTTCTGTGCAAGATGTAGAATTTGCACCAAATTATATGGGATTAAAATTTGTAAGAAAAATGAAACCTTTTTTGAACATAATTTTATGTAATTTCTAATATATTAATTTTTAACATTTTTTTCGATATTTTTTTTTCTATATTTTTCTATATTTTTTCTATATTTTTTTTTCTATATTTTTTTTTCTATATTTTTTTCTATAGGCAACGTGTGCAGCTGATGGAATGTTACGAATATATGAAGCACTTGAAGTAAATAATTTAGCACAATGGACTTTAATGGGAGAAATAAATATAACAACAAATACCGCGGGAAAAGAATCAGATGGTCATTATTGTCTATCCTGGTGTCCATCACGGTCTACAACTCCAATGATTGTAATTGGATGTGGTAAAGAAAATTGTGCAAAAGTTAGTATCTTGAGCTAATAATACTTAAATTATTATAAAATAAAATAATTTATAGATGAAGTCATAAAAATTCATCTTAAAGATTAGCTACCTTATATAGTTATTGTTTTAATAGATTTTTAGACAAGACTCTACGAATAGATGGCAAGCTTTTGAAATATTAGATGGTCACGCCAATACAGTTTATGATGTTAGTTGGGCTCCTAGTATGGGAAGGTAATTGCCTGTTGCCCGAATTTAATTCGAATTTAATTCGAATTATATTCTGATTACATTTTGTTTAGGGCATATCACCTTATCGCTACAGCATCAAAAGATCATAATGTTAGAATTTTCAAATTAGTGGACAATAAAAAAGAAGGATTCGAGATCACACGTGCTCCTGAACTTTCTGATCACAATGTTGAGGTAAAATATAAATAAATTTTATTATGTTTGATATTTATTAATATTTATTATATTTGTTTTATTTGTTTATTTATTTTATTTATTTTATTTATTTTATTTATTTTATTTATTTTATTTATTTTATTTATTTTATTTATTTTATTTATTCAAGGTTTGGAAAGTTGAATGGAATGTAACTGGCACTATATTATCATCTTCGGGAGATGACGGGAAAGTTCGATTGTGGAAGTGTTAGTATTATTTATTATTATTATTTGTTATTATTATTATTATTATTATTTATTTATTTATTATTATTATTATTATTATTATTATTATTATTATTATTTATAATTAATTTATAATTATATTTTAAAGGTTCACTTCAAAGTGGAGAATGGAAGTGCATGAGCACCATTTACTACGATCGACAACCGGAAAGTATGGAGATGTAGAAGATCTATCTATCAAAAATTTATTGAAACGAATTTTTTAAAATATCAATGAGAAAGCAAGCTTACGTAATAATTTTAATAATTTTAACCATTTTAATTATTTTAACCATTTTAACCATTATAAATATATATATATATGTATATATCAAATGTTAAGAACCATTCTTTTTAATTATAACATAAAGGAATTTGAATAAATCTCATTATCAATATAATTTCATTTTATTACATTTTTATTATTTTTATTCTATTAATTTCATTTTTATTATATTTATATTATATTTATTTGATATCTATATTTTGTTCCATCGAAAAAAAATTGTATAATAATAATCTATCTTTTTATTTGAATATAAGAGATTACATTTGTAAAATTTTCCTTTAAATTAAATTTAGACCACAGTTCAGAACCAGATCTGGTCCTTTATACAATATACAATGTATTTCTATTCTTATTTGAAATTAAATTAATCCATCCAAAAAATTGAAATTAAATCAATTTAATCTAATATTTTTTAAATCATTTAATTAGATAATAATAATCACTTTTATAAAGTACCAATAAAGTTTAATTTAAAATATGTAATATTATTTTACTCAAATATTATAAATATTATTATATTTGTCACTCATTTATCATTTATTATCATTTATCATCATTTATTATTCATTTATCATCATTTAATATCAGTTATTCTTTCTTTTCATCTCCCTTTTCATCTCCCTTTTCGTTATCCTTCTTTTCCTTATCATGATCTCCCCCATTGAATCCTTGTTGAAGAATACTTTGAATTCTTGGATCTTGCGTATCTACACCTGGTAAGGATTGAAGTACTGAACTCATATATTCGTTTGATACATTCGACTAAAAAATTAATAATTGTTAAGTAATAATATTTTTATATTACGAGTAAATTAATCAAATTTACTCACATTTTCACTTTCACCTTGCATTGACATTTCAATGGCACGAGCGATCTGTTCATCTTCAGTAAGCTCTTCCATCTGTACATCTCCATCCTATTTGTTTTTTTTTGGTTTTTTTTTTTGGTTTTTTTTTTTTTGTCGAAAAAAATAAACTTCTATAATAACATAGTTACATATATATTATATTTTTCAAATACCATATAATATTATTTACGTACATGTTCAGCTCCCATGGAAACCGCTAGAGCTTGAGATAATAATTCATCTTCACTTTTATTTGCTAAATTTCCATTACCATCACCTATTGTCTGGTCGACAGCCATTGTTGATGATTCTGTTTCATGATTAGTAATAGTTACACCACTATTCTTGGCCGCTTCGGCTTCTTGTCGAGCCCTTTCTTCAGCAAGTGACATACGTAGTGCCATCGCCAATTCAGGTTCAAGATTAGGGTCGACACCAAATTCAAAGTTGCTCCCTCCAGCTGCATATCCAGAAGGCACCCCGTCTTCCCCTGCTATTATTGGAGATGATATTAAAATGTCGCTAAGAATATGCGGACCAGGAGGAATTGTTATAAGATGACTAATGATAAATTTATTTATTATATTAATTATATTAGCACAGTAATTAAATAAGACGCGTAAAGAAGGAAAAAAAAAAAAAAAAAAGTCACATACCTGTTATCACCACTATTAACTGCTGATACGAATGCTTCTAATTTTGCAGTATTTTCGACTTCTTCTCCAAAGTTAATAATATCTACTGCAACATTATTTTTTTTCATCTTTTTACCTAATTTTACTAAAGTTTTTTCATCAACTTCAATTGGACTACCAACAAATACTATGATACGTTGTCGCTGATTCTTATTCTGTCTATGTTTGAGAGCAAGCTAAATAGTCAAATATATAATTAATTATATAATAATATTATATAATATTCAATTATAGATTGAAATATATAATTAAAATATAAAAAATTAATATTGAAATCCTTGAAGTTTACAAAAGATAAACTTCTAAATTGTTAATTACTCAAATTACCTGTGCAATTTGAATACCGGTGGTAAGAGAAGCTCGACCGCCAATTTTAGTGTTATGCAATGCAGTGAGAATTTTACCAATATCTGAAGTTAAGGTGACAAGTACTTCTGGACTAAGGAAAATTTCTTTTTTCAGAATTCATTTCTTATTGATCTATAATTTCACTATAAAACATTTGTGTGAACATACCCTTTACCGGCCATAGTCAACAACCCAACAGTATTTTCTGGATTGGATTGAGTTTTCGAACCGAATATGAGATTAACCGCATCTTTTTGCGCCTCTAGACGAGTGGGAGTATAATCGCCGTTACGCATCCATTCAGAGTTATCCAACCTAAAATTTTAGGTATAGATCAATAGAACTGAGTATATATAAAAATAATTCTAAAATATGATATTATTTACTAACACATACACTAGCATAGTCGCTTCGAGAACCATTTTTAAGATCTTGATCTTGAAATCGTAAATTTCCAAACGTTATGAACAAAACATTTAATTTAGTAACTGTCACGGGATTAGATCATGATTTGAAAATATCTTTATCACATCATGTTGTTGATTAGATCAATATTTAACTTTTTATCATTTTCCCTTAATCTTAATGACATTATGAGATTGTCTCTAATTCTTCGCGTGACATATCGCTGACCATATTTCTAGGTAAAAAATATTTATTAAATTACGTAAATACAAGTAATTAATCGTCATGGTTAATAAATTTATGTAAAACATTCGTCAACGATAATTTCTTAAATAATAATTATTAATTAATCAACCATGACAAAATCAATAGTAAATTCATTCGTCATAGTTTTAGTTTACGTCAAATCTCGTCAACGATAAATTTTTTCAAAATTCTAATCCAACTATGACAAAATTAAGATTAAAACTATTCGGTCATAGTTCAATTTTTTTTTTTCACTTATAAAATCATTTCTTTCCCAACGTATAATTCTTTATTTTGCATACACATATCACAATGTCTGCTCTTTCAACTTTCATCAAGCAACGATCTACTTTTTCTCGAATCAATACTCAAAATTATTATCAAAATTTATATTCTCTCCGCAAATTTTCAATTTATCAATCAAACAAAAAACCAATTGAGAAAGCGGATCAACAGATTCCTTTTACCGTAAGTAAAGATAATCTTAAGGTGGGGTGTAAAGTAATCTATCATCCAGTGGGTGGTTCTTCAACTACATCTGAAGGTATCGTCAAAGGGATTATTACTGAACCTGAGGTAAAGTACTAATTTTTAATTATCACTTTCAAAGATCTACATGTTTCGATTAAATTTTTTTATAATTAAATTAATTAAATTAAATAGCCTGCTGGTTCTACTCAAGTTGAAGTTAAAGCTTCCGATGAACATCCAAGGATTTTAATAGAAAACCTTAATACTCGCAAGGTATAAATTATTTTTAGTATTATTATATATTGAAAATCATAACAAATTGCTAATCAGATCTATGTTTACAAAAATATATATTTATTAGGAAACTGGTAATTTATTATTATTATAATCTATATCATATATTTTTTTTTTGTTTTCTTTCTCTTAATTTTTTATTTTTATTCCTTTTTCAATTGTAAATTTGCAGCATATAAACTCGAAAATATCGAAAAAATCATCGAAGCCTAATTTTTTACTTATACCATTATCATTTATTTCTCAAGATTTTTTGATAAATAAATTTAAATAGAATTTTATTATTTTTTCGCATTTGTTAAAAATGTATATAAAAAATATATTATTCAATCTTTTATTTATTTTATGGTAACACTATTAATAAAATTTGCTTTAATTAAACAATATATTATTTTTAATATTGCTTTACTGTTTTTTGCCCACTTTCAAAAATGCACCACCGCCAAAATATCTATCATTTACTTCTTTGACTTTCTTCTGGGCTTCTTCAGGGTTGATCAACTCAATTCCTTGTACTGGGGTGAATGCTAACGAAGAAGATAGACCAGAAGTTGCACCTGAAGAACCAGTAAATTGATGCCTTTTTGGAGCTTTAGCTATTTTATAATGTAATAAATATATATGTTAAAAATATGAAGAAAACTGTTTCGTATTTTGAAAAAAAAAAAAACTCCAAACCTTTGACTCGTTGATCAGCAACAGCCGCCCGAATTTTCCCGGTACTTTGCCCAATCAAGCCAAGTCCCTTGGTCTTATCGAATGAACCAGTCTCATCTTCAGGAACACCAAAAGCCATTCTGTTTTGTGCTTTACGAAGCTCCGTAAATGCATAAGCTTCCTTCATCCTCCGCACTCTTTAAAAAATCATAAGTCAAACATGCATAATAAACATTTCTAATAAATAAATAATAAAAAAAGTTACAGCTTACTTTTTTCCCGCTCTTCTTTTCTTTGGACCTTCATCCGGTACGGGCAAAGGCTTAACAGTTTTTGTTGGGGGTGGTTCTTGCAATTTTTCAAGTTTTCTGTCAATTTGTTCTCTCAAAGTTCTTCCAAATAAGCCTAAAAAAAATTAGGATAAATGAGAATTATCAAAGATAAGAAAATCATAATATTAATAAATTACCATCAGGTGACTCATGCATGCGATCCATCCTAGCAGCTAATGTACACCTATAAAAATTAAGATAATAAATCAATTAATTATTAAAAGTTCATTCAAAAAAAAAAAAAAAAATTTAAATTAAATTAAATAAAATAGTTTACTTTGCTGCAACAATTTTCTGTGCCTTTATTCTGAGATCCGGAGGAGTTCGTTGAATCAACTCTGATTGAAACAAATAACCTGTGTGTCTTGGTGATGATATATTGGAAAAACCAGTGCTTAACTTTTTTTGAACACCAATTAACTTAATGAAAGGTTAATGAAAGATTAATGAAAGATTAATGAAAGATTAATGAAAGATTAATAAAAGATTAATGAAAGATTATAATTTTTTTTCTTGATTAAGATTAAAGATTTATACCATCACATTGCAAGCTGGCATTTTACAGAGAGCTGATAATCCTCCAGCTTGTCCTAATATTTTGGCAGCAGTGGTACTGCCTACAATTGCTGAAAGATTAGGTGCAATAAGTGTCATTCTGGATTCTACATATTCTAAAATCTATTTTTCGTTAAAAAAAAAAAAACAAAAAAAGAGAGAAAGAAAATAATAAAAATATCAAACGTTAAAAATATGGATAAATATTTAAAAATATTAAGACGGAAGGATCTAATATAAAAAAAAAAGAAAAATTTTTTACCTTTCGTTTAGCAGCATCTAACTCCAAAGCCATATCACACGCATCCCTAACAATTTCGTTTTCTTGTTCTGTCAATTTTTGACCGTTAGTAGTAGATCCTGTTACCGTTACTACCATGACAGTTGCAGACGGAAGTATAGATCTTAAATCGACTCTAGTCAAATCCTGTAATATAATGGAAAGGATCCAAGGGAATGGACATCCACACGGTGAGGTTTGGTATCTATTTAAAAATGAAAAACATAATTTTTTGATAATTTAAAATATGCAATAGCGAAATTATATAAAAAAATGCTAACCATTTCATTTCCAATAGCTTTAACAGCTCTTGTATAATCTAATGGATTGAGTACCAAAGATTCCAACTCTGGAAACTTTTTAGCATAATGATCTCGTATGAACTGATTTTTACATAAAATTGATCCAGTTAATATTTAAAAGATTGGTGGAAAAAATTTTTTACTATATTATTTACCTTATGAACAACTAGAATTTCATTATCAATATCTACAGTTAAATTATTTGCCTGCACAATAAGTTTATATTCAGGATCTTCCTCAACTGGTCCCAGTATTTGGTTTTGGGATCTTTCAGTATTTTTTAATTGTTCTATTTTCTGTTAAATGAAATGAATTATTTAAAAAAAAAACAACTTTAAAACAAAGATAAAATAAAATATATACATATATGTAAACATACTGATAATACGTCTCTCATTTGTCTAGATCCAATTAATTTTGCAACCTTTCTTACGTCCATGACGTGTTTCATTTCAACTTGAGAAAATTGAGGCTTTTCTGTACCGTCCTCAGGATCTTCGTCTTCTTCCATAAGCTCTTCTTCTGATTCTTCGAGATCTTTCATTAGATCTTCGTCTGACTCAACACCTTCAGTACCTTCATCACGAGAGGTTATAAAGTCAGGATCTGCGAGTAATTCTTCCGCCAAAGACATTGTGTTGTAAAAAACCCAAGTCTTATGACTAGATTTATTATATTATATTTATTATATTATTTATATTATACATATTATATTATATTACATCATGTATTCATGTGCTAAATTTATAAAAATTTATAATATGAGTCTATTTTTAGAAATAAATATTTTACTCCTTTTTACTTATTTTGTTAACCTTCTATAATTAAAGTTTTCTTGATCAACGTTCATTCATATATAAAGAGAAATATTTACGAAAATTTTTTATTATATTTAGGTGAGGTAAGAAAAATAACCTATTTTTCATTTAACTAAAGATATTTAGATATTTTGGTCAGTGTTCAAGAATTTGACTGTAAAAATGAAACAATTATTAAAAATTAATTTATTATTGTAGTAAAGGTGAAAATACGCTTCACAGAACACCACTAATACATCTTCCATGCTAAACCAAATGAACTAATTTACTAAAATACAGAAATTAAATAATCATGTCTCATAATTCTTATAATCAAAATCAAAAAGACAATTATTTCAACAATGACAATTCTACTCCATTAGAAGACACTAGGGATGAATATTATTCAAATGATGTTCAAAGTAAAACACCTTCAAAAAGATTTTCTAATACACCAATACAAGAATTAAATGAAGCACACAGAGGAAATAATGGTCGAAACTCCGTAACGCAAGCGGTTACTTTAAAAAGAGGTAAGCCTTTATTTATGGTTTGTTTATATATATATATATATATATATATATAATTTTTTAATTACAAATACAAAGTTTTCGATTAAAGAATAAAGAGTAAATAGTAAATAGTAAATAATAAAGAGTTGCAATAGAATGTAGAATTTATAATATAATTTATTCAAGTAATTAAATGAAAAATAATTATTAAGTAATAAAATCATGATTTAGGGTTTTACTTCTAAAATGATGCAAATTATTTTAAAATTTGATTGATTTTCTTGAATTTGTTTTTATTTTATATATATATATATATTTATTTATATTTATATATTTATTTATTTATTTATTTATTTTATTTATTTATTTATTTATTTAAGTGAAATAAATAAACAATCCCTAATTTTATAAAAGAATTAAATAACCAATAACTGCTTGAAATTTATTAATTTTTTAGCTTCTCGTACATCGATGATATTCAACAAACCAAAACGTCGCGTGGATGATGATAAATCTTCTATAAATTCATCAGTTTATTCTCAAACAAGCACCGCTACCCAATCAAATCCAGATAAATCCGATTTAAATGTAACCGATAAACGATATTTACAACAATACGATGAATTTGAAGGTGAAGGTGAAGATGAACGTATTGATTATCCTCCGGCTGTTAATACACGTGGAGGTTCAGCTGTTATAACCTCTACTTCAGTAACACAACCTTTAATTAATCAACATCAACGAGAAAAATCTGTAGAAATGAGTGAACAAAATGATTATGGCGATTTCAACCAAGTTTCGGGTCAATATGATCCCTACAGCGACTTCAATAATATTCGGCGTTATGATGATCCATATTATGATGAAGAAGCTACACGTAATAATAATATATATTCCCCTAATGGTGTTTTATTAGATCCAAACTCTTATCCACTGGATAATTTCGGTGCAGATTATACAGATCGCGATTTTCCAGGAGGAGGCAAAGGTGCAAGACAATCAATAAATGGCGAGAACCTTGTGTTACCTCCGAAACGTAAATCTCGCTGTTGCTGCTGTTCAAGAAAATCTTGTGTTATCATTACCTTTATCACTTGCGCTATTCTCGCGGTTATTTTATTCTTTGTTTGGCCACGTATTCCAATAGTCACTATTGATGGTGACAAAACAGAAGTTGCAAAAGACAGATCACCAGTTTTTATTTATGACCCACCTTCAATAAATATGTCGATCAACGTTCCAATTAAAGTTGATAATAGAGAAAATTGGGTTCCATACAAGTTTAAATTAATTGACGTAAAAGTATATATATATATATATTTTCTTTATATTTCTTTTTAATAATCAAAGCAATTATGTCATTTATTAACTATTGACTATAAAATAATGGTTTTTATTATTTTTTTTTTATTTATTTGAGGTTTACGATGCTGCTTCCTTAGAATTCTATAATCGACCTGTTGGCAATGGTAACATAACCAATTATTCCCTTCAACCACGCGCTCTCTCAACAGTCACGATGAAGATATATTTTGATTACGCAACTGATCAATCTAATGACGCAGTTTTTCAAGATTTCATTACTGCGTGCACTACAAATTCCACCAATTCAAATGGAAAAACATTATTGAATCTTCGTTTTGACGTTAAATTATTTATATCAGGTATAGATTGGATATACAAACCAGCCATATCGATTCCCATTTCTGATCTCAAATGTCCATATCCATCAAATTCATAATAAATATATCCAAGTGTTTTTTTTTTTTTTGTAAATTATTTAAACTACTGTATATTACAAGCCACAGTATTCCGTGCCATGTATATATTTTACATGGAAAATTTCAATTTTAGTAACTTAAATTTTTATAAAATATCTATTTTTACTTATTATTTACATCTTCCACATAATTTTGTCTTTTTTTTCATTTATATGGTATTTATTTCTTGGATACGTAATCAAAATTTTTTTTAAAATATCTTATATTATTAACTAAAAAGAATTAAATTAGATTACATTATTATTAACATATTACATTATTATTAACATTATACAAATAAAAAAAAAATTTCGGTTAGATTATTTGAATCTTGTTATGTGAGAAATTAAATTCTTAACTAATAATACTTTATGTCTATTATCCCTTAAACTGTAAGCAATTCCCTGCAAATTTTTCTTTATATCACATATGAAATCAATGGGTGATCATCAGATACATGAGATACATGTGATTCTGTCGAACTGCTATATAAAAGTCATGTGAAATTTATGTACTATTTTTCAATAAAGTTTCAATTTTATAAAAATTTATTCTATAATTTAAATCATCTCATTAAAAATCAATTGGAGCTATAGAATAACTTAATGAAAAATGTAAATTTTATTATTTAAAATATCTTTAATTATTATTGTATTCAAGGTTATAAACTAATATTTTGACTTTAAATAAAAGTAAAATATAATTTTTTTTTTTTTGTTCTAGTGAGGCCTTGCTCCAAATTTATTAATTAAGAAAAGAAAAAGTCTTTTACATTATTATTACATAAAGCAAAATACACAACTTATCCTAATAACTATTTTAAAAAAGGGATTCAGACTAACTCTATAAAGAAACATGCTTGCAACCTACCGCCTAACAGCAAAAGTTATTCTCAACATATTAAGGTCCTGCCAAACAACCTATTTTATATAACCCTGTTCATTTAATATTACTTTGAATAGATTTAAATAAAAATTTTTTTACTATATTAAAACAAACGTTTTTAAAAATTCTTTTATCTCTATATATTTTATTACTACTTTTAGAATCAGTAGAGATTAAACTAGTTACTAAATTAAATATTATGGGAGAACCAACCTTCTTTTTTCTTTTGTTTTTGATACCATTGTCAAGTTCCCATTTTTTAACTTCATTACATTTTATAATCCAAATATATTTATGTATATAACCTTTAAATTTTTCCATTACATTATATAGGATTTGACTTGCTTCTTCTATAGTAATTGTTAAAAAAAGAATTAACTTCTGTAATAATAGAGGTATTAGACCAAATAAGATATCTACAAATGAAAATTCATCTGGATTCCTATTAATTCCAGTAAATGTAACTTTAAGCTCAGATAAACTCTCTATTAGATTTTTGACATCTTTACATAATGTATTTGTTACTATGATATTGATTTGGTCTATTAATAAGCTAATAAATTTATTTTGACACATTTCAACATCCACTAAATTTTTCTCACACGTGAATATGTGATGTAATTTTCTATCTTCTTATCACAACGTACATAAAGGTCACTTTTGTATACTAAAGGAAATCTTTCAAATATCCATTCCATGGTAGGTAATTCACTGTTTAAGAGTTTTATATCAAAAGCTCTTTCTCAGGTTTTATTATCACATGTAAAAAATCTTTCATTATATAATAATGAGACTACTTCCTATAATGTTTTCCAAGCGACTTGTTGAATTTTGTAATCTGAAATCGTATTTAAGTTTCTGTTTAATAAATGTCATTAGGTGATATATTTGTTATTCCCATTTTTTTAACAAAGTTTCTTAAAGAGATCTCTATAGTCTTTAAGTTCCAATAGCCTATTGTATTCACAGAAGAAAGTAAAAGTAAGTTGGGTATACACTTGTTTTACAAGATATTTTCTTTAGCTAGCTTATCAATTAGGTCATTATACTTTATTCCTAAGTATGTTTTAACTTTAACTAGTTAGATATTTATATCTTGAACTACAATCAGTTCCTTAATAGCATGTAGGAGTGTTCAATTTTTAAGCTTTTTAAAAGTTTTTTTACTACAACTTGAAATATTGTTAATAGTATCAATTGATGCTTAACTATCTGTGTGAATAATAAGTGTAAAATTTTTAAGAGTTACAAAGATCACAATAAGTATTGTCATTATTTCTGCACGTGTTGAAGAAGGAAAGTTTTTGACATGACCCCAGAAAGTTAATTCTCTATCAGATTCTTCAATAGCTACCCAGCTACAACCCATTACAATTGATTCTTGTTGATTATTATCTTCTATCAAAGAACCATCTGTATATATATTTATATGTATACTATTAACTAAAGAGTTTCTTATTGTATCTAAATTCATCTGAACTTTAGATTCTGACCAAAAACTTTTATATTTAAGATACATTTTTGTCTGATTTTCAAGATTAGTATTGATATATACTGATGGTAATATGTATGAAGTTTTCTTGTTATTATTTTTCTCTTGTAAATTGTCTTGAATATTTTTAAGGCCATGTAAAATTACCTTATGCTCTGATATTAAGTGGAGTTTACTATTTCTATCTGGAAATGATCTAAGTGATATTTGACTTTTGATGATATTCATATTAACTGACTATGCTACTTCAGTTTGTATTAAGTAAATCTTAAAATTTTTATATCTCCTACTCAAATTTATGTCTTCAAGACCACAACCTCCGTACTTTTTTAAGGGTGATTTAAATAACTTTCCTGAAAGTGTTTTACTGACATAATGTTCCATAATGAATTCACTTTTATTTAATGTTTTCTTCTTTTTTCCCAGGACTGGTTGGAGGTTCAGAGGATTATTTATTATTACCCATTTTAAATTTTTACTTTATTTATCAATATTCTAGTCATATGTATTAAATTTGTAAACCATATGATGATAAATATTGTTTGAAATTATTCTATCTATTTGTCCAAATAGAATCTTTTTTTTACTAACTTAAACCAGTTAGGCTTGAGACCCTTTCTCAAATTGTCCTTTAATTCTTGTCAAAAAATTAAGTACTTTCTATCAAACGATGACAATTGTTTTAAAAAAAGAATTTGACACTTCCTCAAACCTCTTCTAAACTGACTATAACAGTCATTTTCTCATAGTAATTCTTCTATAGTTATATTACCCTTCCTGATTAGAAGACATTCATGGATATTAGAGAACAATTTGAACATTAAATCATGTTATTTACAAATTATTAAAATGTTATTAAGTAGGAAAAAATCTTTTTTAATTTTAATGAAATCCAAGATTTCAGTAACAATTTGATGTAATTAAAAAAATTTTAAAGATATTGTAATCTAATTCACATTAAATTTTTCATAATTCTCTTATCATTTAATCTATACAAGAGATTATTACTGTACATTTGTAGTTGACGATCCCAAAGGTTACAGATATTATATACCTCCTTTGTATATAAAAGTACTTCTGAAACTGTGTTAACTAAACATGTTTTGCCTTTAATAGTTGATATAAATCATGTTATAATTTTATTACATTCACTTTCAGATAGTGTCATATTATTTAAACTATACTCAAGTATAAGTATAACTATAGCATTAAAGATATATATAGTTTGTTTGTTTGTCAAGGGCTTCCCTTTTAAGATGTATACCATATAATCAGTTAATTTTTTCATTCGATCGTATTGAAATTTTTTGATCTACTTTCTGTAACATAGACTCCCAATGAGTGTACTGGGTAATCCTTTTCCACTGGTAATAAAATTTCATTTTCCATATTCACTCCTATCTCTCTACAGTTTTCATTCATCAGGAAATTTTAAAAGGCAAAAATTTCTGGAAATTTTTCAGCTCGATTATCTTCCGGAAGTTTTGTAGACTCCCAAAATTTTCTGGAAAAAAAATTCGTAATATTCTGAAAATTTTCACAGTTTTTCGGAATTTTTTATAATAAAAATTTACAAATATTTTGAAAATTTTACAAAAAAATTCACAATATTCTGGAAATTTTTTGTAAAAAATTTGTATAGAAAATTATTATATTTTTAATTTTTTTAAAAAATTTAGATAAGTTACAATTATATATAAACAAATTGTTTTATATTTATAATTTATTATTATTTTATCATATTTATAATTATTATTATTTTATTTATTAATTTTAATATTATATTTATAATTATTATTATTTTATTAATTTTAATATTTACAAAAATTTTTGAAATATATAAAATTTATTCTATTGTTCACTAGTGTTATTGTCATTATCATTATCATCATTATTATCTTCTTCGTTATCTTCTTCATATTCATCTTTATCTTTTTTTTTTATTTTTATTTTTTTATTTTTACTTCGTAAATTTTTAACCTTAATTCTTTTTTTACTAATTTTTTTATGTAATTTTGAGGTGATTGGAAAATCTTCTAATTCTGAAGACTCTTCAAATGGTGATTGAAATTTTTCAAACCTTTTGAAAGTAAAAAATCTTTCAGGAGCTGAAGCAAGAGCAAAAGAATTTTTAGAAGTGGAAACAAGAGCAGAAGAATTTTCAGGAGCAGAAGCAAGAGCAGGAAAATTTTTAAAAGCAGAAGAACTTTCAAGAGTAGGAGTAGGAGATCCAGGAGTAGAAGATTGAGGAGAATATTTAAAAATTTCTTTATTTTTGATTTTTTCCTATATTATATATATTTTATTAGTTTGTTAATTTTTGAAATTTTTTAAAAATTTTTGACAAAATATAAAATTTATTTTATTTTTTTCAAGAATTGGCAATATTGTTTCTTCAGTTATTTTTATATATTCATTCTTGAAGTCGAGTTAAGAAAAATTTTGACTATTGATATTGTTCAGGAAATTTGTTGATCAGATAAATTTTTTTTTTAGGTTATGTATCTTTTATGATTCTCTCCATATATGTTTCAGATTCTTTTGCATTTCTATTAATTTCTATAAATAAATTTTTAAAGCATTTTAATATAACTGGCTTCTTTT